GCATTCAGTGTCATTTAATTCAAATTCCCAGGAGGGAGGCAGGGCCGAACTGGCCCAGTTCAGTTCAGTTATTTTCCCTCCTAAACCATAGACTATTACCAAGAAAAGGGTGTCGCCCTGGGCAGACAGGCTGATGGGCTCTTCCCGCCACCCCCTCAGGACAGGCTAAGAGGAGGCAGATTGTCATGGAAGGATGTGGGGTGGGAGGTAAGGATTGGCTTTTATATAACTCCCTCCCAGATTTTTTTTCCAAGTAAATTCTGTCAACCCCACTGAAAAACAGAGAACAAAAACCTGTCAAATCCTTTCCCTTGATATTTAATATATATCCTGTGTGTTCTTTGAGAAATGAGGCCTTGAAGCTAGGTGATAAAAGATGTAAAAGAGGGAGATGCTAGCACATGACACAGTGCCATGTCAAGCCAATGGGGACCCGAGGTAAAAGGAAAAATATGTCCCCATATATATATATATATATAGTTTTTATGTATTTTAATGAGTTTTCTAGGACATTTAAGTCATGTAAAAATTTTTGGAAAGTTAAAATGTAGGTTTATTAACACATAGACGTTATTTTAAGTTTAAATATTTTATTTATACCAAAACAGAATTTATTATATGTTTTCTTCATTTTACCTTAATCAAAAATTATTTAAGATCACCATCACTTATGAGAAAATTGTCAAACTTGTTTATTCTCTCAATTAAAAATGAAATAAGCAGAAAAGTAGATTTGAAAATATTATCAAGTTTGCGTCCATTAAAAATTCCAGACACATTTTTTTTTCTTTTTTCCTCAATCTCCAATGTGCCTTGGGCATGGTACTGGTCTTTATTTAAATTTCTGATATTTTGTTCAGTATGGATTTTTTTTTCTTTGCATTGATTTTGAATTTTTGTTCTCCAATTGCATGTAAGATTATTTATCTTGATTACTGAGTTTTTGTCACTCGTTAAATTTTGCACCCAAATAAGTGCTTCACTCACCTCTCTCAGCCTGGCCTTGGCTCTTTCTTCATATCCTGGCTCCAGACCAACCCCACATGCAACCCCAACATGCAAATACCCTCTTCTTACCACGAGCTTCCACAGCTACTGAATCAACAAACGGATGGTTTAGGGGCTTATGACAATAGATATGTTGTGGTTGCCACTGAGACCATTTTATTTTAATTTTTAATTAGTTTATGATCAAACTAATGATCGTATTACCCATGACATGGTGATTTTAGAGAGAGTATGCCTTGGCTTTTGACATGCTTTAAAATCAAAGGATAAGGACAAAGCAGTCCCACCTGCAGGGGAGCATGCCTTTTCCCTTCTGCCACAGTTACCACAATGCCCCGTTATCTGACACAGGCTTCGTTTGCACGTGCTGGATACATTCCTGGCCCGAGGTAGGCACTTGAGTTTGCAATGCCAACATCCAACCCAATGTACTTTTTTCACTGCTGAAGTTCATCCTCCCTTGAATCCCCTTGCTTTTTAATTCCTCAGCCAGTTCCAGCCTTGACTAGGTGATCTCTTCATCCACAGGTTCTCTTTATGGTTCTGGGTTGACTTCATTTGGACCAAGAGGCTCAGTGCTATTTTGAACAAGCAGGTGTTCTCTCTTAGAGGATTAAATATGTTAAGGTTTAAGCCCCACCCCTTCCTTTGTGGAAGACCAGGCAGCAGTGAGCTGGCATTTCTGGTCACCCCCTCCCTTATGGCTCAGCATTTGGGGAAAGTAAAAAGCAACTTATACTTCCCAAAAGCTGGTGGCCTTTGATCTGTATTCAAATACCTCAGCTTTCCATGGTCTTGAAAAGAAGGAGACACAAAACAATTAAGATGATTTTTTTGCAGTCATCTATGTGCCACTAAATGCAGTAGGGGAGGAAACTGTTCTTGTTTAAAGCTAGTTTTTCCTACTTCAAGGTAGTCAGATTGGGAAAATATCTCTTCATTCCCCTTTTCACACTCTTCTTGCTACTCCTCTCTCATTTTCCTCATGGAAAACATGGATAATATAATTCTCTCTCCCCCTAGGTCTAGAGGGTATTTCATTAGTGGGGAGATCAGGATCTTGTAAAAGGACCCCAAGTAATCTAATAAGTAATTTACATTGTTAATGGCAAGACATGTCAAAGTTTTTTTGTGGGTGAGCAATAGCATGTTGAATTTTTGAGTTTTATTTATAAAAATTAAAGTGTCCTATGACTTACCAAGAGGCATTACCAACACACACTCACACACACACATAGACTCAAAATTGTGAGCATGTCAGAAAGTAGGGAGAAAAATTCACAAGTGAAATAGTTGTTTTCTGGGGACATGCTCTTTGGAAGAATGAATGAATGGAAAAAGACCATCCCCATACACAATGCTATGTGAACAAACTAGTGATCCTATGACCCATGACAATGGTGGTTTTAGAAAGACTATTCTTCAGCTTTTGATGTGTCTCTAGTCAAAGAATATGGACAAGTCAGTCCCATGAGGGTTGAAGTCATTAGATTTTTCCTTTTAATTTTAAAAGGAAAAACTCATTTGAGCAGATGACTCAAATCCCTGTGTATGATTTATGTTATTTAATGGAATTTTCACTTAGTATATGCAAAAATAAGAGGAGATTCATGTTATACGGAAACTACCTTAGTGAAACTGTATTAGTATGAGAAATTCCGTTGACCCTATCCAAAGACTGCTTCACACTGCATTCCATTCAGACACATAGCAAAATTTAATAGGGTATAATTATTATAATTCCATAATATTGTAGTTTTACTGCCAATAAGATTTGCAATTATTGTACGTATTTAGTAGTACAATATTATAAGTATTTAGTAGCATTTCTACTAAAACAGTTTAAGTTCTGGGTAACATAACATTTCTTTCAGTTAATTCCAGAGATCTTAAAACCATGAACAGTGAAAAGTGTCACAATTAAAATGACTGTGTTACAATAACAACAAAACAAAATCTTATTAAACAAAAGCGGAGTAAGAAAATCTGTCTTTTTATGCAGGGTTGGGATTTCTTAACCTGCTAGGTTGAGGATGTGCTTTGGAGTACCCATGTAGCCCTGAAGTTTATGTAGAAATTTATATATCTATGAATTTATGCATTTTCCCCAAGAGAAGGATCAATAGCTTTTTATCAGATGCTAAGGGATCTATGACTCAGAGAGAACTTTTTATATGTGGATTTTTTTAAGTATTCAATTAAAGGCCTGAAGGAAAAAAATTAAATTATGACTTTTATGAGGCCAACAGCCTGCATGACATCAACTGTTATGAAAATTATGGCTGGCCAAGAACACCAAATGGTACCACTTAAATCTTTACTAGGCAATATTTCTAAGTTCATACAGTCCTCTTTAATTCATTCCCCATCTTTTTACTAATGTCCCATAATACTTCTGGCCATGTATCTTAAAATTGTCACCACCCCCAAAAATCTCTATTCCGAAAGGTGGAAAGGATAAGGGAGAAAAATTGCTTCAGAGTTTTTTTCCCTCCTGTTGATTTTGATGTGTGTCACCTTATTTCACATGTGCAGTCAGGCATTTCAAGGTTGTAAGAGATGGTTACAAAAACGTTTAAGGGGCCATCTTCTCTCTTCCTCTGCAGACTACCCCTCCACCATGTTTAAGCCTCTTGGGTTATATTAATATATAGCCTTGGAGTTCTTAAACCTTCCATTTCCCCTTCAGTTTCTTTCTCCTTTACCTAAGACTTACTGCCAACTGTCGTTCTAATCAGCTAGCATGCACTCTGACCATTGTCAGTGGCTGGTTTTATTTTCACTTTATTTTCACACGTGTGTACCCCTATTTGCACTGCTAGGCTATTTTGAAGTTCAATTCTTTTTTAGTATTATTTAGTTAAATCAAATAAGGAGTGGAAAGGAAACAAAATACCCTTTCCACTTAGTTGGTTTTAGTTTGATGAATATTTAGATCCATAAGTCAGAAAAAAAAGTGAGGCAAACTGATTTATATTGGGGGAGTATTTTTAGTGGGGGAGGGGGAGAGTAGGGAGAAGATTTTTCTAGTGAAGGACAAACTACTTCTGCTGACCAGTGGATAATCTAACATCCTTTCACTGTCTCGAGTACAAAAAACTAACCCTTCTGAGGAAAGAATTGTGCTATGCCCGCACTCTCAAGCCCCTACCCCAAATTATGTTGCAGTGCTGTGTGAAAACTGGCCTTGTTTCCAAAGTACAGTGACTGGACTCATTTTCCTCATGTTTTCGTGCTTTTTCTGTACCGTGTGGTTGGCACCTAACCCATCTGAACGCATTTCTCACTTAGAGTGCTTGCAAGTAAAACCCATGCTTTGCCTTCTCCGCCACATTGCAAAAAGAGATGTATTTATTAATTGGATAATTTATATCTCTTGTTATTATTTTTTTCCTCAAACTCAGCCTGGAAATCAGAACTTAACTGCCAGTGTGTTGGAGGTAAATGCTTCCCAGACACAAACCACCCCAGAAGCCTCTCCTCCGTGCCCTTCCTCCGTGGTGCCTTTGGACCACGCCACTCGTTCACCAGGCAGTGGCTCCAGCCCGGCACCACTTAGCCTTGCACCATCTGAGGGTTTGGGGTCTGCACAGCTGCCCAGGCCCCAGAGCCTTTCCCGTTGTTTCTACAAACACCCCCTCCCAGCTCCTGAAAGCCTCACCCACAGCCACGACACAGGCTGTCCCACTGCAGACTCCTCCCCGGGCGAGCTCGCCTCGCACTCCGAGAGTGGGTCCTCCACAGCCATGCTAGCTGAGCTGCAGACTGGTGACTCTGGCACCACTGACCGTTCTGAGACACCCTCCCCCACCTGGGGTCAGAGGTCTGCTATGACAGACGGCACCACCTTAACCACCCCTGCGGCCACTCATGTAATTATCCTGCCTTCCTTTGCCTCCACCTTTTTCTTAGAAGGACTGATTTTTTGTGTGCCATCTCATTTTGCAGCTGAGCATTTCTATCTGCAGAGGTGTTGATTAATCAACCGATTCAACACCAGCCGCCAGGGAAATCCACCACCGTCATCCTCATCAGCCCACTTAGGGCTGAAAAAGTCACTTACATGCTCTGCATTCATTTGAGAGTTACTTATGCTTACTCTAAAATGGTTTATTGTGTTACTGTAGCTAATGAGTTGTACAGCGATTTGCCTTGATAAAAAGTTGTCTCCGAGATTTAGATAAGTGTACATCATCCTATTGTTATGATTAGATTAGAGAAAGTCTAAAATTTTTCCAAAATTTTAACCCAGTATTAACACCTGGTAGATAACAGTTTGCCTCACTTATATTAATGTGTCCTGTGTAAATAGTTTCTATTCCTTCTTTCTCACATAAGCGATTATTGACTGCATGATCCTAATTCTTCTTGCTCCTATGTCTCTAAAAGCTACATCTTTTGAACTTGTCTATTGTACAGGAGTGAATGATGTAAATAATCTTAATGTGCATTACAGAGATTTAGCCTTTATGATTTGGGGGGAGGTATTTTTCCTGAGCCATTCCAGTATAGAAATGTATGAATATATTTTTTATTTTATATGTAAATAATTTATCTTCCATTTATAGCAACATATAAGTATGTTGCATACATATTATATCATTTAAATGTGTCTGTATGACAAACAGCCCCTAATAAATGATTTATGAATGACAAAAATGCTTCCAAATTTTAGGCCACAGATTCCCAATTGCGTATAATGTATAGACAATGGCTTCCATTTGAAAAGCACATAGCTTCAGGCAAAAAAATAGGAATTTTTTTCTAAAATTGATATTATAATGAAGTTCCAAATAAGCAACTGTCACCAACAAAATTCTGTGCTACATAAAAACTGTGTTCTCTCAGGCTCACATATCTGCAAATTTCATGTACAGAGAAATGTTATATAATAAGCCATGTGTTTATTAAGACACTGCAATACAGAAAACAAAAGGTATGTTTTGGAGGATGGGATTTGGAATTCATCCGGTGGTTGGCTATGACGCTGTGCATTGCAATGTTCCATCCAGAAACTGGCTGGAGAGGGAGAGGCAGGAGACCAGCCATGGCGCTGGGAGCTCTGCAAGAGTGGGGCCTCCATGTGCTGCTGTGCTTTAACTGGTTCTTAACTTTTTTTTAAAGTTTAAGGAGTATTATCAGGATCTTCAGCCAAAAATACAAAGCAGTGAGAGTACATCAATTTAGGTACTAACCTGTTCGATTTAGCCTCTACTCAATATTATAGAAACCATCGAAATAGGATTCAGAGCAAGTTTCCTAAGTTTAGTAACACAGATGTCTAATGGCTTTTAATAAGGATTCTCCTGCTTTTAACATCAATTATAATACATTATAACAGCAGTATTAAGATGGTAATTACAAAGATCCACCAAACTTGATTTGGGCAAGGAGGCAAAAACATTCTCAAATCATTCACCAGACGTCCACAAAGGCTCTGAAGCTTTGGGCAGGCCTGTGCCTCAGGTTTTATGAATGTCGATTTTTCTCTTTACATAGAAGATCTCCAAGATATGGTGGGATATGATCTGAGAGTGATTTTTTCCAACAGCTTAGAGAAGTACCTAAGCAATAAGCACAATCCTTGTAATGAACTGTTTATTGATTTTAGGACATATGTGGTATGGCTATAAGTAATGAAATTAGGTTTATTCCAGGTCATTTGACAACATATCTGTTTTTAAGTGAAATCAGAAGTAAGCAATTAGTTGTTCTTTATGTTTCAAGCTTGTGTAAAAGGTGTTTGGTTTAAAATACGTAGGAAAAGTTCACAAATTATGGTTCTTTGTATATGTGCACGTGTGTTTATGTGTATTTAGCTATAAGGTAATCTTAACTAAATGATCTTACTAACGTTTTGCCTCATTTGCATGATGCTCAGCGCTGTGCTGTGGACAGTCATGCTCACAGCCCTGAGCTCAACCTCTCAACTAAGCTGATTCCTTTCAATCAGAAAAGGTATCTACTGGATGTCTTCTATGTCATTAGCACCAGGTTGCATGTTGTAAAAAAATATAAAAGAAACATGTATATAACCATCTCCAAGAAGTCTGAGATACCACTGGGGATATAAAATACTCAAATATAAAACAATCAAAGCCGTACATTATTAAGAAACCAAATAAAGGCCCATGAAGTGCCGAACACGGTTGAAGCAGAGAGAGGCCAGTGATTTAACAATTCTTTCTGGTACTTTACCAGATATTTGATCCTTCTAGAATAGCCTGCTTCATGATCTGTATATCCAAACCACTGCACTCTTTGTGTCAGTCACCTTGCTCTGGAAACATCCATTCACCAGAAGAGATCCCTGAGTAGGTCTGAGAACCAAGCCCTGTGCTCGTGCCCAAGAGCATCATTTCAGATGCTGCATGCAGAGCAGTGTGACATGTTCTGGCTACTTGAGTCATGGCCGTAGGAGGAGAGCTGCGCTCCGTGTTTACTTGGCACTGACTCCTACTGCTACCGTGTGGCACGTCTGATGGCAGAGCAGCATGCCGCCGCCGGTCAGCTGCCTCCTTTCCTCCTAACCCCTCCTGGGCCCTCGCATAGATAAGAGAGTGATTTTCAGAAACGAAGGAAGAGAGAGAAGACTGAAAGAATGTACCCTGCCCTCTGACATCAATTTTGGAAATAAATAAAAACTTGGCAGCTATATTACTGCCATGTGATTGGAAGTCTTTTATTATCACCCAAAGGAATGATGTTTACAGGGCACTGTGTGCTTTAACGGGATGCCTGTGCACTTTTCTCAGAGCCAGATAACAGTGAATGGAAACTCCGGAGGTGCTGTGAGTCCCATGAGTTACTACCAAAGGCCGTTTTCCCCCTCTGCATACTCCCTCCCAGCCTCACTCAACTCGAGCATTATCATGCAGCATGGCCGATCCCTCGGTAAGTAGTCTGATCACCACGATTCTCACGGCGAGTTCCGAATGCCAAGTACAGAGCACACGAGAAGCACAGAAGGCATCCGAGTGAGGCAGGAGCGCTGAGCACTACTCCACCGTTGGATGGGAGGAATGGGGGCGGAGGATTCACCCAACAGGCTCCCAGCTATTCCACCACAATGGCTCCAGCTGTATCAGAGCCTGGAACAGGCTATTGGGTATTTGAGGTGAGAGTAGAAAGAAAAAGAAGGTGGCCAGTTAGCTTGCACAATGAAAGAGTAAACGAACATAGTGCGTTTCCACCAAGGCAGCTTGTTTTTCTGTGGAAGACAGAAAGCTTCCACGGTGGAATATTCTTTTGGTGTCGATATAAGGAAGATTGTTTACCAGCTAAAACAGTGTAACAGGGAGACAGGCTGCCTCACGAAATATTAAAGCAATAATCCACCAGCTCATGAGGTAGGAAACTACCATTCAAACTGAGGCGACAAGGCCTTCAGTCAGGGGTGTGGTCGTAGAAGCCACACAAGAGAAACTTAAAGAGTTCCCTGAAATGATGATTCCATAATTTTACAGAATGATCATTCTTAACCCTTTGGGGATTAAGAATTCGGTGGAAGACAGGGCTCTCCTCCAGAAAACAAATGAACATAGGAACATTCATAGCAAAATCGAAGCATGTGATTTCGCGGAGCTTATGAACTCTTTTGTAGCCTCCTGGGAGAGAAGTTCTGCTATAGAATGATAGAAACCTTCTTACCTGGTGAAATATAGTATAGCTTAGAAAATAATGTAATAAATATTTCTTAGTTTTCAAAAATGTAATTTAAAAAGCCCAAAATATCAAAAGGCATACCGAATTGAATCATCATAGGAATTCAGGCTGGAAAAGTTTCCATGATGTTGGGTCCCTAGAAAGCTTCCAGGAGAGCAGGAAGCAGAGGGGCATTCTGGGGACTGGGACCACCCCACACCTCCCAGAACAGGGGAGGCCGGGTGCTCCGGCCACAAATGAACAATAGAGGGAAAGAAACTAGAACCCAGGACTTGAACTGCTATTTCCTGTCTGACAGCAGGCAGCACACCCCCCTTCCCCAGCACTGACGCGTGTATTGAAAGAGCATGGTGCTATCCCTTTACCAAGGAACACTCTGTGTCAGCATCTAGCATGTGCGTCGTAGAACTCAGCTTCTGTGGGCAACAAGACCTCTATCACTATAGGACTTTAAATGTAGCTGTGGGACTCATTAAAGAAAAGTCTAAATATATCTGTGCTTTCTCTAATACTACTCCTGGGGATCATCTGTGAATCATATAACCATGTCTTTTTAGAGTATAAGAAAGTAGAACTTCCTTGTGCCAAAATTTTGCCCTTTAACAATCAGTCCATGGTATAGTATAATAATGGAAGAACACTATACCCAGATTTTTAAAAAATGGAACCCTGCATTATCACACATATAATATCAAACTCTATAAATTATTGTAGCCATAGCATTTCCCTGAATAATTGTTATCAAGTCTACTCTGTCTCATTGCCTGTCTTCGTGAGCACAGGTTTTTCCCCATCCCTCACCCCCACCCTACTGAACAAAAATTATAAAGACTCAAGTACAGACAAATTTTGATTCTAGAACATATCAATGACATGTTAACCTTAACTATCTTTATAATATTGAGTTAAATTTCTTAAAGAGCTTACTTATATGTTGTTTTATACAAATGTGTCATGAAAAACATATTTATATGATATATCATACACACACAGAGATGATACCAGTGAGCCCCACTCTGAGACATACAGATTCTTCCATTTGCACATAAAAGAATTTTCTGAGTGGCAGTCCTGACAGACCATGGCCTATGGAGTATATACAAAGTGTCATTCCTGGTCACCAACATTTAGAAATTAATTGCAGAAAAATAGGAAGTCATATTATTAATCATACCAGGTGAATAGTAATAATGTTGATTTTCAAAAATAACTGTGAACTAAGAGTAAATGAAACATATAGTGCATATATGCACCTGTTGCTTCTGAAAGTATCCTAAAAGTTAATAAAAATAACGTGGGCCAGGCATGGTGGCTCCCACTTGTAATCCCAGCACTTTGGGAGGCTGAGACAGGAGGAAGGCTTGCGCCCAGGAGTTCGAGACTGTAGGGAGCTATGATCATGCCATTATACTCCAGCCTGGGTGACAAAGTGAGACCCTGTCTCTAAAAATAAATAAATAAAAGTGACATGAAGTTAGAAACTTGATAAGGCTCATCTAATTTATATCCTTATGGCAGTTTTTATCCTCAAAGGGTAAAAAGTCATGGTTTTTGGTATTTTAAATTAAAACCAAAGATATTACATCATCATGGCTATTTAAATAAAAATTAATGAACACTAATAGCTTAAAAGCATTTATTTTTTCGTAAGCCTCCATATCCAAGTATACTATACGTTTGGATGTGAAGATTTTTTTAAATTTTCTATTATTATGGGTCCATAATATTTGTATATCAGTCTAGGCTATATGTGATGTTTTGATACTGGCATACTGTGTTACTCAAATCAAGGTAATTGGGGTATCCATCACCTCAGGCATTTATCATTTCTTTGTGTTATGGATGTGAAAATTTTTTACAGTGACTTTTGGTTTTGCTTCGTTTTAATGAAATCACTGTCGCTAACTCCACAGTCCTATCCTTTGTCTAAAAATACATTTCAGTACTCATAAATAATAGCAGTTAGCAATCTCACTAGAATAATATTCATGGAAATTATGGTCTGAGGGAAGTTATTACTACTAAACTTGTCTCAGCACCTGCCCCCTCATTTATAAAACTGATTCTTGCTCCCCAACCCCATGCCCCCAACCCCCCCAAAAAGAACGGAAAGGGAAAAAGAAGGGAAAACAAGGAAAGGCCGAACTAAGAACAGTGGCGGCTACACAGTCATTTAACACAGGCTATGCTCCTGCCTCATCCTGCTTCGTAAGGTGGGGCAAGCCCTGTTGCCATAGACCTGTGCCCTCCCCACCTCCACAGTACCCACTACCAGGCATCCTCAAACTACCTCCCGCAGGCCACATGCAGCCCACCGAGGACATTTATCTGGTCTCCGGGTGTTTTTGCCACCGCTGCCTGTCCTGCTTAGCAGCGCATGTGTGGAATGTGCCCGCACTCTCCAACGGCCCTCCAACCGTCTGAGGGACAGTGAACTGGCCCCCTGTTTAAAAAGTTTGAGGGCCCCTGCACTACACAACGAGTGGCTCACCGGGAAGGTAAATGGGTTCAAAGAGATAGTGATGGGAACGTGGACTGGATGTTGCAGTTGGCATAAACATGCAAGGAGAGGCACCATCGGTTTATGATCCCTTGTGCGTCAAATTGTGTTCTCCTTTGCCACGTTTCCTGCACAGATTCCACAGAGACATACCCCCAGCATGCGCAGTCTCTGGACGGCACGACGGGCCCCCTGTACAGATCCTCAGAGGAAGAGAAGAGAGTGACAGTCATCAAAGCCCCGCATTACCCGGGCATCGGGCCGGTGGATGAATCCGGAATCCCCACAGCAATTAGAACGGTAGGAAATGCCAGCGTGTGCGTCTCTCCCGGGCTGGGCACAGGCTCCACAAAGGGCGGATTGTCCCCGGCTTTGTGCATTCCTAGGGTCTTATGTAATGAGGGTTGCCCTGCGTGCCGTCTGAGCGCCCCTGAATGCTATGCTGTGTGCGGCAGAGAGAGAAAACCGTCGGCTGAAGAGAATCACACAATCTGTTTTTCCATTCCAAAGAAAGATCATGAAAACTGTGATTTTTGTTAAACGATAAAACTATGCTTTGTCTTGTTTTACCTTTTTTACCAAGGAGGGTTAGGGCAACAGAAAAGAGAAGGAACAGGAAAACAGAAGTCCTTTGGCAGCATAGAATTCCCACGTGCGTTGCAAATAAACCAGTGGTTTATTTGTTTCTTGAAATGGATGTGTGTTAACACCAGGAGGTTGGGAGCTGCGAATTGGGAGTTGGGAGGTGAGGTGATTGGAGTGAAGGGAGTTAATGTCATGGAAAGGAAAAGCTGTCTGAAGAAAAATACACATTTTCATGTCCCTCTTCAGCTGTGCCTGCCGAGAGAGAGCTCTCCTGGGATGATAAGTGAAAGTGTTTGGATTTTTTTTTTTTTTTTAAACTCTGCCAAAGCCTTGCTGAGTGTATCAGGGCAGCCCCTTCTGGCAAAGCGCTGCAGCAGCAGAGGCAGCTCCTGAGAGCCTGGCAGGCAGCTGCTTGCTGGTCAAGCCCACTTGAAGAGAAGGTTTGCCCTGGCCGGGAGAAGGAAGCGGGGAGAGCAGGATGCGAGCCACGACTCCTCTGCAGGTGAACCTGGGGGAGGGGCGGGGAGAGCTCCAGCTGCAAGCCCTTGGCCTGCAATGCCCAGACAAAGCGCTGGGGTGTTGCTAAGAGCTGCCTCCCTGGAATGCGGACCTGGGGGGCCAAGACAATCATGGATGGAGGAAAAGAATGGGAAAGATGTCAGGAAAAAAGCAGGGTAAGATTGGAAATAGTCACAGAGAACTAACGATGAACTGTGGGGGCTTTCTTCTCTACCTGAACTTGCATTTATTATATGGGGATGACGTGTTTTATATACAGAGAAAAGAGTTAGAAAAGGCTTAGTCTAAGCATCTGTGTTACAAATGGGAAGCCAAAAAGTAAATCTGTACCTTAGTGTCTGGGGTTTTAGACTTTGTTAGATTGTGGTAATGTTGAATGTGACGAATGATGAAGTCCTAACAATCTGTCTTGGAGCAGATGATTGTCATATTTAAGTGACCGAAGCAGTTCAGGGATTGTGACTAATGTTCCTCATTTTATGACAATTACATGTTTCTGGATATGGTGTTTTGTTTTTCATTTGCCTTTTAAGATTTCTGATTCAAAATGGTAAAAATTGAAATTTTTTCCTAATAGTGTAGGGATACAGTGTGTGGCAGGCATGGTGTCATTGGTTTTGTCTAATTGATCCTTCAGGCAATAGTATATACACAAATTAAGAGATCCCTGGTTCTAAGTAGTTATAGATTCTGTTCAATGGATTTTATCTGAGATCTCTGGGCATATTTTTAAGTCAATAAATGATATAAAGGATAAAATGGACTTGCAAATCTGGTCCATTTTTTAACCTATAAGACATAATTTTCTTAACTGTCAAGACCTTGCTTTGTTAGTTTTTTTTAAAAAAAAAAACTAAGATGTTGGAGATTGTTAATTAACCTTTTTATATTGTTATCTCTTGCCAAATCAAAAGTGTGCTTAGGTATGCATAAACAAACACACGAAACATTGAATGCTAGTTTTCCTTCTATAAAATAGAAAAAAAAATAGAAGCAACTCAGAAGTTCCTTATAAGGAACCATATTTTCATGTATAACTTGTCCTCTTACTCAGGACCTTTAAAACTTGACAAAGAAGGTAGAGGTCTGTGAAGACTCCTTTCTTCTTCACATTTACTATTTTACAGGCCTACTGAGCACAGCCCCAAGTATAGCTGTGTTTATAAATGTGGAGTCAGGCCATCTCTGAGCCACAGCAGGCCAACAATCTCCAAGGTTGTTTTTCTTCTCATCTGTGTAGAAAGTAATGACTATCAGACTCTAATTGTTTCGTGTTAGCTTTCTGCTCAGTGCACATGCCCAAGCCAGTGCTGTCTCAATGTACCATGTTATAGAATTATTTTAAACAACCAGCATACACCAAGAATAGTCATAAAGTAATCCAGAAACTCTAGAAAGCCATGAGCCTGCAACCAGAGCTTTGGAGTGACTGTAATGAGGAGGAGCCGCTTTGCAGACTGCCCTCCCTCCTGTAACCTGGATGTCTGTGTTAGCCTTTCTCTGCCATTCTTAAAAACAACAACAGCAATCACTAGGGTTCAGATCCCATGAGATTGTGTAATTAAGGCCAGCTATTTAAGTGAAATACAAGATTTTACTTCAAATAAAACACTTGCTTGAGCATTTTCAAAGCTGAAAAAGAGCAAAAATAGAACAGAATCACTGTCTATCGGTTATGTCAAAACTATGTCTTCTTTTCTTTTTGGAAATCTCTGCATGTTAAATCCGTGTAGAGCTCTGATGTTTTTTTGTAAACTGCAGGAATGTAAAAATGCAGGTCTGTTCACTCAAAATTATAGAAAACAACTGCATAGGGAATTACCAGTAGCTGCTTTCCATGCAAAACAATTTTGAAGGACACATTCCTCAAATTTGAGTAGACTTCTATTTTCTGAAACTTGGTATTAAGAAGCAATATAACAGTCTCCAGGATGGCATTTATAAAAGGGACTTTAAATGCTTAGAGTACTTCTTTTAGAAAGGGACATAGAGTTTTAGCATTCCCGTCTTACTAGTTTCATATTCTCTTTTGCCAACCCACTGGGTATTTCCTGGCACCTCTGTACTCACCATATAAAGCTAGCAGATGGCATAACTGTGAAATCCTACCTGATATAGGCCCTCCAGCAAGTGAAGAAAACAATCCTGTCTGTCAAGAGGCATTGCCATATACAGTGATGGAACGTACTTACTAGGCTTCCTTGTTGCCATTGGTTGTGTCCAGGTATGGTTAGAAAACAGTTTTACTCACAGTATGTTGTAATTTTTGTTGCTTTACTACTGTAAAAGAAATGAAGGTTAATGAAAAAAATCAGTCTTTTATAAAAAATAAACATCCCTTAAAGATACATGTTCGAGTACTTTGAACCAGCAAATAAAAGTTAGGCTCCTACCTCATCCCTGCACCCCCTCCCACCAGCCCTCACCATGCGATTATATATATATATTCAATAAATAATCCCTCAATGTGTCCATTATAGAAAGAGCCTAGAATAAAGAAGTGATTTGCAACAAAGTCAAATAGTCCTTAATGTTCATCTATATTTGGGGTGATTGCCAGAATCTTGTATTTTTAGAGATCAAAATAAAATTATAATACAGAACCTTCTGTGTCAAGATGAAAAATGCAATGACCACATATCTGGAGAAAAAAAAAATCAGGATATAAAATCCAAACCAAAGCTCAATGTAACAAGTACAAAAATATTTTTGTAGGAGTCCTGACAGAATTTCTTAAATCAAGAAAACTATCCTGCAAAATCTGGTATATTTAGTTACTATACATAGAATGGTCAAGTTTGTTGTCCAAGTAGCTCTGAAAGAGTTGGGGTAAAGATGTTGCCAAGCAAAACCTTTAATTATGATTATAAAGATGTGTGTGTCTACTTTCGCAGGTATACAGTAAGGTACGGTTCCATCCAATAAGCTAGATTCATATATTATTTCGTTCTACAAATATTTGAAGTTCCCTACTGTTGCTATTTATTGACCATTTATTATATTCTAGGCATGGTTCTAGGCCTTTTTGTACACATTGTCTAAATTAATTTCCATAGCAATCCTATGACTTAGATATTATACAATTTTATTATTTTAGAGAGGAGAAAACTGAGGCTCAAAAAGGTTATATAACTTTCTCAAATTCATATTGCTAGAAAGTATCAAACAGTAATTAAAGAAACCAAGATTTGAATCTTGGTTCAAGAATTTAACATCAACTTCCTCTTTCCACTGCAGCCTACTTTTTCTATCATGTCCATTTGCCTTACAATTTAGCAAGGCAAGTGTGTATACACTCTGTTATCATGTTAAACATTTTGTAAAACCATACATTTTTAGATTTGCTCCAGGACTCTGGATTGTCTAACTACATTCAGTATTTTAGTAACTTAGACTAGCAAATACCAAATTTATTTCTCTAGGCTGATCAGAATATAGTTCGGGTCAAAAATATTCCCTATTCAATTCTGAAAATAATGTCTTGATAGAACACTCAGTAAAAAGTGTTCAAGGTTAATAATTACCACCAAAAGGAATTAGGGAAACTATTACAACAATAACTTTTATTCAGTGAATTTTATATAAACATATTTGTGTAAGTATCAACTACCTAGTGCTGGACACTTAGGTAGTTTATGAAAAAATAAAACTATAGCATCGAATGTTCCAATTCAGCTTAACTCTAACATGAGGTAACATATTTATAAACTTGCAAACATAACTGAATACATTGCTGAAATTGTCAGCAAGTAATGGGAAAGAGTCAGAAAATTTTAACACAGAATAGAAATCTGCTGTTAAGAAGATAAACTATAGAAATGAAAACATTGAGGAGCAACACGGATTTGAAACCAGTTTTGTAACTATTGGACACTCTGTTTATTATAGACAGTGGACCGCCCCAAGGACTGGTACAAGACAATGTTTAAGCAAATTCACATGGTGCACAAGCCGGGTATGTATGTTGTTCTGCTTTCTGATCCTCGTGGGTTGCAGGATATATATTCCTCTTCTGTATAGGTTTCGTTCACACAAAATGTCAAGACCCAGCTCACTCCATGCTGCTTTCCTTTCGGCATTCCTCCTGTTCTCCTCTTCCCACTCAAATCACAGATCCCTCTGCCTCTGCTCCACCCCTGGGCTGCCTGCAACAGGTGCCCCTGGGAGGTAGGCCCGCGCTCTGGCCTCCTCCCTCCAGCCTTCCTATCCACGGTCTAAACCAGGTGTTGTCTCTGTAAACATACGCCTTGTTCCTCTGTCCACCCGGTCTGCTCTTCATCAAGAGCGTGAGTCTAGGCAGGTCTTCTGAGCCTGCCATCGGGACGAGGGAAAGCTTCCCTTCGCCCTCTGACCTGTTCGCTAAAAATCACTGACAAGAGGCACAGTAACAGGAGAAAAGGCATATAAAATTTATTTGATCAAAGTTTTACATGACATGGGGAATTCAGAACGAGGACCTAAAGATATGGGGGAGATTGTCCATTTTTATGCTTAGGTTTAACAGAGTATGGGCAGCCATGTAGCCATGTGATTGGACAAAGAGGGGATGATCTAATGCTAACAGGCTGAGCGGGGAAACCCAGCAAGGCCTGTCTGTCCAGATTTTTCTTGGCCTCTCTGAGCAGGGTCCTTCTTTCTGGGTGTGGGGCAGGCCCTCTCTGGAATGGGGGTCTTATGGCCTGCAGTCAAACAGGGTAGGTCAGAGAATTTCTTTATGGCCAGCTTTTAAACAGAAAGGTAGGAGAAGGTTAGAGTAATATTTTTAGGCTTTTATGGCAGGTTTTGAGAAAAGGGGTGCTGGTTTCTATCATCCTCCTTGGGGAAGAGGGGTTCTAGTATCTGTAGCTAGCCTCGGGGGAGAATCGGGCAAGAGAGACAGGAGGGCAGCAGGAAGACACAGAAACACTTTTGCTTCTGAGGCCTTCATTTGGGGTATTGTTTTCTGAGCCCCCACACTGCTCAGCGCAGCTGGCAAGCGCTCTCTGAAGCACTTAAAGGAAATTCGTTATGCAGAGGCAACAGTGGCCTTGGGAAGTGAGGACTAGGGACCGACTTTGTACGCTATGAAGAGGCCAGCAATGCTAATATGTTACAGACCAGAAAGGGTGTTGGGGGGGGGCCAGCAAAAAGTGGTATTTGAAACTAAAAAGTGATATTATGAACTAGGAAAAATACGTTGCTTTTCTAACAAACTTCTGTTGTTTTTCTGAAGTTCTGCTGTCTTGTTGTACCATGGTGACCGCATCTGTACTACTATAATATGTATGTTTCGTTTTCTAGATGATGACACTGACATGTATAATACTCCTTATACATATAATGCAGGTAGGATGGGTTTCCTTGCTTGCAATGAATATTTTATGCTCCACAATGTTTGGAAGAACTACACAGCCACTTTTTTTGACTTTCTGTTTGAGCTCAGGTTTGCAGTTTCATATCATTAGGAGGATGCTTGTTTTTTCTTTTTTCAGAGCATGCATAACAAAAGGATTGATCTTTTCTCATGGAAATGAGAACTAACACTGTTTTATCTCATTCATTCCCACTGTTAGTTTATTCTCAGCTTCAGGAATGTTTAACCCAAGTGTGAAGGACAGCCAGAAAGAACACACTGTAACCCAGGGTACAAAACAAGATAGAGATCTTCTTTTATCAGCAGAGAGTGATTACAATTGCGTAAGATCATTCAGATACGCTTCACAAAAAAGCAAGTCAAGCAAAGTGTTTTGTGACCTTGTCCCTGCTTTTGCTCCAAAATGCAGCCATTCATTGAAAGATTTCAAAAATCCCACTTGGCTGGGCCACTTTTCTGACTCAGAGTAGCCAGTGGTCATAACAGAATGACTTCAGTTCCGGGCATCTCCACTTGGACTTGAGGGCATTGGTACCTCGTGAAGGGGTCTTCAGCCTGGAGAGGGGAACCCCCCCCAAAACTCTCCCTTCATCACTTTCTCTTGAATGTTGCATCAGGGGTTCTGCCCAGGCCTCCTCTCCCTGCCCAGCCACAGGCTGTAACTGTTGCTGTCCCCTTTCTTTAGAGCAGGCTCTGAGGCTCAGACTGCTCCCCTCCCCCTCTGCAGCATGACCTCACTTAGGGGTCCCCTGGCCAGCCTGGCCCAAGAACTGCGTGAAGCCATCCCCCCCACACACACCTGGAGACCGGCGCTCAGCCCTTTAGTTCTTAGGGATGTCACCACTGGTCTCCACTACCAAACAGAGGGAAAATGAGTGAAACAGGCCCAGCAAGCAGTAAGACCTCTGTTTTATGTCCTGGCTCCCTCAGAGGACAGCAGGAGGCCTACTAAGATGTCCTCCTCAATTTTAATTCCGGGTCCTGGGTACACCAAACTCACTCCCTTAACTTAAAAGTTGAAGTCTGACTGTGGAATCCAGGCAGAACTGTAAGTGCAGATGTTATCTCTCATCATTTGCCGAGGAAATTGGCACAGACTCTCAGGAGAGGCAGATGATTGCAAATAGACTTCGCCCAAAAGGTTGTAGTTGTGAGAAATTCAGAATTTTCATAATTTTTTTAATATCAAAGTTTGTATCACATTAGTAACTAGTAAATGGAAAAGCAGTTACATGTAGAACTCTACAAGTTTCATCATTTAATCCGTAGACAAAGCCACTGCAGCTACTGTGTTTCCCCAAAAATAAGACCTACCCATAAAATAAGCCCTGGCAGGATTTCTAAGCATTTGCGCAATATAAGCCCTACCCGAAAATAAGACCTAGTGATGGACGTGGCTACACAGCGCATGTGCACAACCCATGCATTTCGTGGCAGAGCGGTAAAGAAGACGAGCAGCCCTTCTCATCTGCCCCATGAGAGCTCCATTGCTCCACATGAGAGGTTGGGGCCAATGGTTCTAAAGTAAATAGAGTCGCAAGAAATTCAGGATAGAATTCTGGATTTGGAGAGTTATGATGATGTTCAGAAGAAGATGACTTAATTATATTTGAATAAATGTAGATTGTTGTACCGTACTTAAAAAAAATAACGCATCCCCTGAAAATAAGCCCTAGGGTGTCTTCTTGAGGAAAAATAAGTATAAGACCCTGTCTCATTTTCGGGGAAACATGGTAGTCTCTTCCTTTTGTACTAACCCTACATCTCATGGCTTTCTGTCTTGCACTTTTCTGCTTTGATTTTTCTATACCATCCCTAACTAATCTTTCAGGACTAACTCGAGCAGCATGAGTTGTATAATATCTTCTCTGACCAATCCACAACCTTCTGACATCCTTTAATTCTTAACATATGTTTTCTTCATTTAATCTTTATTATATGCTACCAATTAATTTCAATCATATTTCAATTCGTGTCTCATCTCCCCAGTTGTGCTGTAAGCTTATGGAGGGTTTCTGTGTCCTTGTCCCTTGCACAGCACCTTATATACACAACTTGGTCAATTGTCATATGTAAATCAGAGGGTTTTTTTTTAAGTGTTAGGAGATACTTGGAAACAGTTCTAAGTATTTTTAATCTCCCCTGGAAACCTTAACTATATTATTAATTTGTACGATTCAAAGAGAAAATTTGCTAAGTACCTATAAGTTTATTCCTAGTATCAATCTGAAATTATTGCTAATTCCAAAATAATTGACAAAGATTTATTGCAATCAGGGCTTGTGTATAGAATGAATTAATAATGAATGATGATTAGTAAATCAATAATATTAATAAATTAATAAAGAGCGACCATCTGATATATGCATTATGCATATGCTTATTGATAGCATTTTTACATAGTCATTGGATATATAGAGGGGAATGAATACTTTAATGCACTTCTAACATACTATTTGCTTCTGTGTGTGGGGTCTTCCGTGATAGGTCTGTACAACCCACCCTACAGCGCGCAGTCACACCCTGCCGCGAAGACCCAGACCTACAGACCTCTTTCCAAGAGCCACTCTGACAACGGCACCAACGCCTTTAAGGACGCGTCCTCGCCAGTGCCTCCCCCACATGTTCCACCCCCAGTCCCACCGCTGCGACCAAGAGATCGGTCTTCCACAGAAAAGTAAGACGCTGTCCCCAAAAGTGGCCAATGTTTAGCTTAGGATAAAAAGAAGGCCATGGCAAATCCAGTGGAGGAATCAGTGCACACCTTCACGGAGAGAATAACTGTGTGATCTCATGGGTCCCTGCGTATACCATCCTGACCTCCCCCACTGAGACTGTAGCCAGCGCATTCGCAGTCTTGGTTCCTGATATCACAGCACCCTAAATTAGGCTCGAGTTCACCTTTATCGATCAATTGACTTTTTGGTCAATAAATGCATATAATTGACCTATACGTGCTTTGGTAGATCAGGTTAGGGACTATGCAATTTGTTTTCAGTTTCCTCAGACTTGAAATGTTAGATCTATCAATAAAATATCTTTTCGAAAGCAGGGAAAGTTATTCATAAATCATAAATAAGGCATTACTTAGTAAGTGTCTATCTGTGACTCATTTCCACCAGTTTCTTCAAGCTGATGCTAGTTTTCATTTCTCCACTGAAGTATTTTTATAGAAACTATCCACACTAAAATAAAAATTTAAAAACACACTTTTATCATGTTCTTTTTATTAGAATTATGACTAATATTTCTACTTATAGGTAACCTTTATTGAGAGTTACCATAGCCCAGCAATAGGCTAAGCACTTTTGCTGTATCATATCATTTGATTCTGAGAACAACCCAGTGAGACAGGTTCTATTTTAAAGAGAAAGAAACTGTGGTTCAGAAAATTGAAGTCACTTGCTCAGCTCATACAGCTAGCGTGTCCAAGCCAGGATCCAAATTCAGCTCTGATTAAATCCAAAGCCTGTGCTATACTGGTAACTAACAAATAATAATATAAAAATTATTCTTTATTAATACCAGCTATTAAGCATCATCTGTCATACCCATCCCAGAAAAATTGTATTCGACACCCCATTGTACCCTTAAGAGTAACTGATGATGATATAGGGTACAAGATGAAAATAGACACACATCACATGTGAAGGGGGCCTCATAGTGAATTATATGATGCCTTAATATTGAAAAACAATGATGTAGACACAAAATGGTATGCTCGCCATCAAAAATGAACCAAAATTAACATTTAGATTTAAATGTATCATTTGTCCTACATGTTTAGTTAAAATAAATATCTCATTAAGAGATATGATGATCCCATATCAAATTTTTTTCATTTAAAAACTCCAGATGGCTTTCGTATATATTGTCTCATGCAATGCTCAAAACTCCTTTGCAAGGAAAAAGAACACAATTTTGCTACCTGTGTTTAACACAGATGCAAAATCTAAGACTGCAAAGTTTAAGAGGTCTGCTGAATATCATTCATCAATTTAGCAGAAAGCTAGGACTTGCCCCTAGTTCTATCTCTTAGAGCACTTTGATTTCCAACGTGCCATGGAGTGAGAATTTCATCCCATTCCATGGAATCAGAATCGCTCCAATCTATAGTCAGAAAATCCATCCTCCTAAAAATGATGGACCCAAAGGGAGGCTTCTTCTTTAGTTCCAGCTGCCTAGAAAAGCCTTACCTTGTAAGTCCTTCTTTGGCAGCCTCTTAAAGGATATTAGTTCAGGAAAAAGTGCTGATTCCCATGAGCTAGATGTTTGACTGTGGTGTTTCAAAGCTAACACCAAAGGATGATCTCCCATGCCACACAGCTTGCTCCCAACTCAAGTGATACTTTTATACTTTTCCCAGACAAACTATGGGGCCACTTACAAGAAACAAGATCAGACATGGTGTGTGCATTACTCCTTGTCACTTTGGATCAAGGATGCCAAGTCACAGAGTGGTGGGTCAAACGCACAAAGCTCAACGGAGCATGCTGCTGCTTACTTTAAACACAAACATACGCAGCTACCATTAGTGACCCAGAGGCTTGCTGGGAGGTCACTGTCTGCATGGCTACAAATCTCTCATGTGAGTTTTTGAGCCAGCAAAAGGATAGTTCTATGAAAAAAAAAAAAGAGGAAAATATAATATGAAACAAAAGAAATGGCTTTCTTTAAATCATTAATGTAAAACAAAACATAAATATGGCATTTTTTGCAGATTAACTTTTTGTCCTAGAGATTTTTTAATCTATATTAAAATTAACTTTGACAACAGATAACAAGTAGTTTGATAAATTGTTTTAAGTGCACAGGATTATTTTAACATATGATTTGTTGTTTACTTCCAAGGCATGACTGGGATCCTCCAGACAGAAAAGTGGACACAAGAAAATTCCGGTCTGAGCCAAGGAGTATTTTTGAATATGAACCTGGCAAGTCATCAATTCTGCAGCATGAAAGACCAGTAAGCACTTGTCATTAAACAGTATGCCAGCTCTCTAGGCTTCCAGGGTTTCCAAATAAACCTGAATTTCGTATTGTTTAGCAATTTTTATCACAAAGGTAATTTATTTATTTATTTGGCATTATTTAGAAATCATGAGTACTTTGTATCATGATCTGTGCATCCTTTCTCAGGATTAAAAGATGCACTCACTAATATATTGTCTCTTACATATATTGTCTTTTACATATATATATGTAAAAGTAGGACTCATTTGCATGTAACTATAGTTATGCCCAATCATGAACTTGAGTTTAATTTTTGTAAAAGCACCATTCATAAACTGAATTGCTATGATAGATTGCTAATGAGAAAAGTCATTAATTAATCTCCCCAATACACATGGAAGCATGGAAGTTCCATCCTTTGATTTTCATTATTAGTTTTATAATATTTCTTTGGCTTAAGGGGAAATTTTCCAAATACCCTTTTTATAACAAGTTGTTTTAATTGATTCTTATTAAATCCCTCTCAGGTTACCAAGCCTCAAGCTTCCTGATTGATTGTCATTCTAATGGATCAAGATTATATTTCACTTTGCAGTATTTTTTCCAATTATTTACTTTAAGTGTATACAAACAAAAAGATATAAAAATCACTTCCCTCCTCAAAGTGCAAGTTACCAAAGATGTTCTCCCCTAGCCTTCTGGGTTTCTGGTTTCCCTAGCCCTCCTTTCTGTGTCCTTTGCTTCCACCCTAGAACTCAGTGCCCTCAGGATATCTTTGAAACTCTACTCTTCCTCTGCATCTCCACCCAAACCTACTTCTAGGAAAGCATTTGATGCCAATTGCAACTTACTCTCATTTTTGCTTTAAAAGAATTTTAGGTGTCAGTGAACAGGAAAAAGAGGGTTTTTCTTTGTTAGCTTCTTCAAGAGTCTCCAAGAAATCACATTATTATATATAGTGCAAGGCCGTCCCTGAAATTTAATTGGAAACTCTTGCCTCACCACACCCAACCTGAGTGTCCTTAATTTAGTTTTTGAAACCCCATATTTGTGGTTGTGTTGTTGAAAAACATGTTTGAAAACTTATAATCACATAATTCATACATGATATTTGTCTAAGCCATCTTTGCCTTCCTTCAAACAACTCATATCTTTTAGAGTAACAGGACTTCAATATAAAAACAAAGAAAAAAAGGGAACATCACTGGTTTGCAGGCTCCATTGCAAACGTATAACCCATTTACTAAGGTTATATGATTATTGTGACACTGAAATTTCCAGAGTGAGAATTGGGTGAGCCACAATGTCCCCATTGCATAAAACTGGAAATAGCAAAATAATAAGCCTTAGATTCAAATGTAGAAAACAAAACTTTCATACTCATTCTAACAATTTGTGAGACTCTTAGGATAATGAACACTGTAACTGTATTGTAATGCTTTTGTAGCTGCAGTGTCAGGAAACAGGACTGATGTTAGAAGTTTGCCCATCAGGATATTTCTGTTATTTACCCATTCCACTAAATCGATTGAGCACCAACTCTGTGCCAGACCTGATATTAGGTGCTAGGGACACAATGGTGAACAAGACAGAGTCTCTACCTCGAGGAACTTGAAGTCTATCATTTAACGTACATGCATGACAAGATCTGCTTTTGTGCAAACTAAACAACCTCTTAGGGTTAAAACGGAGGCATACCTAAAGAATCGCCCCTCTCTGCCCATTCTCTCATTCGTAGCCCTATTATTGTGCCTGAAATTCTCATGTTACTCATGCCTTTGGGTTAAAGCTTTCAAGGCTCCTAATATTAAAATAGCAATAAGAAGAAGAACAACAACAATAACAATAGCTGCAAATTTTCACAGAGCATTTACTATGTGCCAGGCTCTGTGATTAGTAATTTATGCCATATCTCATGTTTCCAGCCACCCTAAGAAGTAGATACATGGTATTCCCATTTTATGGATGAAGCGACACATTGACCAAATTTGCCCCAGGTCACACAGCTGGTGGGAGCTGGCGGTAGGCGTAGAGCCCAGGCAAACTTATGGCCAGTGGGCTCGATCACCACTATATTGCTGAGTAGGAAACACATGTAGCTAGTAGTCATTATTACTTTAATTAGAATATTTGATTATGTTGCAATATAAATTAGTTTATTTATTGGCTAATTTATAATTACTATATTTGATTTACTTCACCAGAAACCTAGGCCCTTAGCAGTTATGACACCAGCCCATAATACTTAAATAGGTGTAGAAGGCAGGTAGATCTGGAGCCATGGGTATTGCCGGAGACGCATGTGGCCAGGTCTCTTCAGCCACAGACAAGTAGAAGGAATGTAGAGACTGGGACAGAAATGAGAACGGATATCTTACGGAGAAACAGAAAGCACCAAAACGTTTATGCCTCCTAAACAATTTTGTGGAGGACCAGCCTTAACCAAAATGGTTTGAGCTGGCCATATGTATCATTTTGGCCAGCCTTTTTATTATAGGACTAGTCTATGATCTTTTTTTTAAAAAAAAATAAATCCTGAATTCATTCTAATTTATAGAATCAGAAAAAAACAAAAACAAAGGGCCAATGGACAGTGGCACCGTGGAGAGTGGCTGTATGTCAACAGAGAGAGGAGGAAGGTTTGCTGAATGAGAGTGATGGAACAGCAGAGGGGTGACGCAGGGAAGTTCAAGGCCTTATGCATGCACCCTCATGGACTTGGATTCTAGGATGATGTGGGAGCATTCCTTTGCTCTTTTCATAATTAATTTTTGAAAAATGTACACAACAGCTAAGCCATTCTGTGCTGCTCCATTGACTTCCTAGATGATGCCGCCTCCATCTGCTTTCCTAAGTGTCACCTTGGATTCCCCTCCCCTAGGGAGCTCAAAGTCCTGCCATCAGGAGAGAAGCCACTGCCACTTCTCTCTCTGGCCCGCCGCGATCCGGAGAGTCCCCTGAATCTCCAATCTCTTCACACCACAGCGAGGTCGATCTTTAGAAATTCTTTATAAAACCTCCAGCTCTAAACTTCCTTGTGGTTCTTCGCTGTCCGTAGAGCAAAATCCAAATCCCTTAACGTGATTTATAAAAGCTCTTGGGATTTGGCCCCACCTGAACTTTCCAACCTTGTCTCTCTTCTCGCCCTCCCTGCCCCACTAGGTTCCAGCTACACAGAGAACTTCCAGCTCCCTCCTTGCTGGGCTTTTGCACAGCCTGTTCCCTCTACGTGCGAGGAAAGCTCTCCCCACCACCTCTTCCTTCACACAGAAAGTTCTAGCCCATCCTTCAGGTCTCAGGGTAGTCACACCTGTCCCAAGGAATTGTCCCTGACTCCTCACACTAGCCTTAAAGCTCCCCCGACTGTGGGCCCAGGGCCCTCACACACTGAACTGTAAAGGCTGTTTCCTTGTGGGTGTCCCTCAGGAGACCTCAAGCTCTTGAAGGCAGGGACCACGTCTGGGACACCACTTGTATTCCAAACAGCACAATGCCTGGTACATAATTGGTGCTCAGCGAATATTCATTCATTGAATTACTAAGTGAATGAATGAACATAGGTCTTTTTTTTTTATATTTGCAGTGAATGGGGTAACATTGGTGACAAACTGAATCCTTATTTTGTTGCTTATCTATGAAGCCTATATATTTCTGCTGGCAAAAGGCCAGTGGGTCTGTATCAAAACCCTCAGTAGGGATTTGACACGCTGCTGTTAGTAACTGTGACTCACCAATTCCATGCTTCCCTGGGATACAAAGGAGGCAGGAGGACCAGTACTGTCTGAACAGAAGTCCTCCCCAGACCCTGGCTAAAAGGGCCTTCCTTAGGAATCAGCAGTATATGCATTTATGTTCTTTAACAGGAAAGCAAAAGTGAATGCACTTTTTTGAAACTCATATTCATTTGACTATAAATTTAGAAATGTTGACTAAATGGGCCTATAATGTTTGATCTGGAAAATTACTTTGCTTCGTCTGACGGTTGAAAAGTTTTATGTGACAGTTTGAACCATAAAGAATTATCCTAACTAACAATGTAGAAAGAGTTTATTGTGGATCCACAGTAAACATGAAACATAGTAGCCAATACCATTAAAGCTTAAAATCTAATGAGTGTAATTTTCAAGAATAAAATAGTTTGGCACTTCTTTTTTTTTTTTTTGGAACAACATATAGAAAGCATATGCCTCAATAAAATACTGAGAACAATGGAATTTCTATAACCACAAAAGCAACTAAATGCTTTTATATTGTAGAAATATCAAAACTTTAAAAATTATTCACCCTTGGTAGCTTTTAAATAAGGATCGCATGTGATTTATAGTTTTAACTTTTCTTAAGCACATTCTTTTGCACTGATGACACAAAGTTAGTTTTAAGCAGAGGTTTGCTGAGGTTTTCTTAAATGAATAGACCAAAAAAAAAAAAAAAAAACAAGGTTAAAAAGAGTGTTAATATTAGTTCTGTACTCAAAGGAACTTCCATGTTACACGTGGAAAGTGCTGAATTAGTGAGTTGCTTGCTAGTGAGTATATGCATCTGTTGGCTGACCACATCTGTGCGTATGTCACTGACTATTGTGAGGCTTCTGTGTATCTTAGCAGTGGCTCTGGGTCACTAAAATACATTTAATTATTGCATGACTAGAGGCATTCAGTAGATCTGCTTAGCAAAGAGAAGATTCTAGTTCTGGCACTTACACTTTCTTTAACATAAAGCCTTTGCTCAAGTGTGTGCCTTTCTTTACATTTCAAAGTTATAGATAATTACCGGCTATAATTGTTTGGGGTATTTTTCTCTGCTAGTTTCTGTTGGCATGCATTCTAGATATATGCGCATTATGACTATAAGTTGAATTTATAATCTACAAAATAATTAATGGAAAATTCTCATTCTAAGGTATAGAGCAAGATGATTGATATTCTGTTCCTTTTTCCATATTATATCATAGAAATATATTTCTATAAGTCAGGACTCAGTATATCCATTTGTTATATATTTTCTTAAGGTGGAAGTCAAAGTAATGTTAGAGCTAATAAATATATCTATTTAGTAAATTTGCTGCCCTCTGCTGTTCATGTTTCTTAAACAGATTTGCTTCCTCTAGAAGTTTCTATCTCTCCTTAGCAAAACAAAACACTGTATGTGAAAGCAGAGGTTATAAAATCAAGAATTAATAATATGTTTATAACATTAGAAATTATGATGTTTAAAAGAGCCAAGGGTTAGTTCTCCTCTAGAAGAAATAGTATGCTTCTATAAACAGAACAAAAATTACTATAAAATTCTCTCTACTGTTAATTACCCTAAAAATCAGCTCCAGCAAAACCTTCCACGGCCTAATTATATGCTGCATCTATAATGATATAAATAATAAGCATTGCAGAAAAATATTCTAGCAATATCAAAACCTTAATACTCTTACAACTATTGAATGAAATGTAAACTGAATCAAATTTTTTAATTAAACAGAAAATAGTTTTAAAATTAGTTATTAGAATATTTTTCTTTCTACCAATGTCACTGTTACTTCTGAGATGTAAACCAAAAATAATATTGACACAAATAAGGGAAAATATCTCAAGATTCTTACAACCTATACCTATACCTAATAGTAGATGTTCTCTCTGACTTTTAGTTATTGCAAAAATAACATTATAACAATAAAGCAAAATAATATTTAAAAGAAAGTAAAAACAAACAGTCTCAATGCCAGAACACCTTTGTAGTCTTTTGTGTATGTGTACATTTCTTTCCTGTGCTCATCTAGGTGCAAGCTTTGTGATACCATCGTCACTACTGTACAACTGCACGATTATATTCTGTTTTCATTGCTTAGCATCCCATCATAAACGTTTCCTTCATAGTTACAATTACCACATATTTTGGATAACTTAAGCCATTGCACTATTTTGTCATGATGCCTCGAACTTTTCTATCATTGTCTGTAATTACTATTATAATCTTTTACTATGAAATATTGAGAGAAAACCACATCACTAAAAACACTTTGGGTATAACTTACTATTAAATATAGACTGTGTATCGTTAACAAAATCATTGTAAATGCAACGAGTCAATAAAACACTAGAACAAGCTCATGTCAAAATAGTGGCTTTTGTTGGAATATGGAATATTTCAAAGCTCCCAACATTCCAAAGGTTATAGAGCATTTCTGTCAGACCCTAGATGTAGCTACTCAGTGGAAGTCCCTGAGTTCCTTTAAGAATTGCCAGGAAATGTGGCCAGGCATGGTGGCTCACGCCTGTAATCCTAGCACTTTGGGAGACCAAGGCGGGTGGATCACTCGAGGTCGGGAGTTCGAAACCAGCCTGAGCAAGAGTGAGACCCCCGTCTCTACTATAAATAGAAAGAAATTAATTGACCAACTAAAAATATATAGAAAAAATCAGCCAGGCATGGTGGCGCATGCCTGTAGTCCCAGCTACTCGGGAAGCTGAGGCAGGAGGATCGCTTGAGCCCAGGAGTTTGAGGTTGCTGTGATCTAGGCTGACGCCACAGCACTCTAGCCAGGGCAACAGACTCTGTTTCAAAAAAAAAAAAAGAATTGCAAGGAAATGATATGGAATTGCTTTGAAGCCGTGGCAGCTTGATAGCCCTCCTGGAATGTGTCTCCAGCATCTCAGCTCCTCTCTTTGCCAGGGGAATGGCTTTTAGGGAACCAAATAATTTTTCTTAGAATTTTTTTTCCTGACTTCAAATACTGTACTGTTCGATTGTACCATATTTAATTAGTGTGATCATTTCAAAGATGTAATAACTCACATGTAGCAAACTTAAGCATCCAGTTTTAATGTAAAATCAACTCTAGTCAGGCGTGTATTATTTGAAAACGAGTATGGCTGGGTAAAGTAAATGCTCTGTGTCTGTTTTCCATTACTAAAGTAATTGTATTTTCTCAAACTGTTTATAGTAGCACTCCCAGTTTGTCCATCTCAAATGCAACATTCAGAAACCACCGGAGGGGAACAAGTCAATTACAAAAATTGGTTTTTTCTCTAAATTAGAATGTCAAGGAAACCAAGGTGGGATTTTTTTTCTCACACTCCCTGCCCTGCCCCTGTCACCCACAGTCCCTTGACAACCTAAACCCACCTAAATCCATTTCTCAGCTCAAAGTAGGCAGGTGGAAGGTGGATCTTGGGGTATCTCTTTAAACGTGATCTTTCTTCACATTCTGAGAGATGCCTGATGGGCAGATCTTCGCAGTGGTCCAGAATGTTCCTAAGGTATCTGGGTCACACCCCACCCCCACCCCAAAGGCATTTCTCCTCCCACCTGGCGTGACGCAGTGCACAGACCACTGCCAGCTGGTGTCCTCTGGGTTCCATCAAGGGCCTCCATCTAATGAATCAGTTTCTCCTTCACCCCTCTTTCTTCCAGCCCCCTCTCCCAACATCTCCGACTCCTGTCCCAAGGGAACCCGGCCGGAAGCCTCTCTCAATCCCCCGACTCGGAGCGGCCCCCGGCAGCCCCTGCCCTCCGCCCCGGAGCGGCGCCCCCACGCCAGGCCGGTGCGCCCCGGCTGTCTCTCCCATCCGGGTGAGCTCCCTCCTCCTGCTACATTTCTGACGTCAGGAAGCTCAGCGCAGCCCTCGCCCTCCCGAGGCTAGGAAGGCATGCTCAGAGGCTGGCGACCCCACTCCCCCAGCGCCCCTTACTGTCCCCTTCGGGGCCCGGGGCCCCAATGCCCACAGACCCTAACGTCCCGCCACCTCCCATCCCTTCCCACCTTCCCCGGCCCCGCCCCAGGCTCGCCGCGTGCCTGCACCGAGGGGATCGTCAGCACACTGTAGCCACCCAGACTGGGATGCTGGTCACCAGTGAGGGCAGGGACGATGCGGTGACTCGCCTGGGCACTGGACTTGGAGACTGCGCCCAGCCTGGCCTAATGCTCGCACGCGCTGTCAGGGCCAGTCCTGGCTGCCAGGGAGAGCTGTCCCTAGTGTATGCATCGAGCTAAGGAGAAATTTAGAAGTGGTGGACAGAGGAACTAACTAGGGACCTAAGCGATGCCATCGAAGCTTACCTTCATATCCTAACGTGACTCGTTTTACTTTACTTCCTCCGCTCTCTCCTGGCGAGGTTGGTTGGGCGCGACGCTGCACGTTTGCGTGTGAATGCGCGAGTGTGTCTACCACACGGCGTTTCCCTCCCTTCGCTCAGTGTGCCTTTTCCTTCCCTTTTCCTTCACATCTGCTCTAGACTGATCGCATAAATCCAGATGACATAGATTTAGAAAATGAGCCCTGGTATAAATTCTTTTCAGAACTGGAGTTTGGACGCCCGGTAAGTGAGGCTAGACTATTAATATAAGAAAAATAGGAGAATGTTGTTTGATTTGTAAAAACATACCATTATCAGAAGAGATGGGTGTCATTTAGGGAGCAAAAGCCGAATGCATAATATAGACACAGCTTTGGTACAGCTTAGTCTACATTCATTTCTGTACCAAATGGTTTAATGTGCTCAGACACCTCCTATGTGCTTTTTAAAGTCATGCATTACGATTGCTTTGTATCTAATTAATTGCAAATTCAAAACGTTGAGGGAGTTTCTGTCCTGGAATATTCAGATAATTATTACAGCTTTAAAGATTTGTATTTGTTTACAGTCCATTTTGGTTCAGTTCAAACAGAGCCCCTTGACATGGATAACCAAAATCATCACTATTACTACCATACCTCCCCAACGCCTGGAGAGAGCTGGCTTCTATACTCGTTATCTCTGAGTCCTCTTGATACTTCTCCAATCAGAAGAAAACAGGGACCAGAAGGGTTAAGAAATTTGCTTCGAGAAGTAAATGGCAGAGTCAGAAGTTAGACTCAAGCCTGTCAAAGAAAAAAAACTCTCTGGCCAGTTCTCACTATAACATACTGCCAGAATATTCCCACTGCAAAATACAGTCAAGTTATGTGTTGCTTAACGGTGTGGACACCTTCTGAGAAATGCATTTGGGGTTAGTCTGTCATTGTGCAAACAACATAGGGTGCACTTGCACAAACCTAGATGGCACAGCCTGCCACGCACCTGGGTTATATGGCATGGCCTGTCGCTCCAGGCTACAGACCTGCACAGCATGTGACTGTGCTGGCTACTCGAGGTCATTGTAACTTTGTAAGTATATGGAGTCTGTCTTTAACCAAAGCAGCCTTATGCAACACTTGACTATACCTAGTTTACCATGTAAAGAAAGAAAAAAAAAAAAATTAGGAAACCCTGTGGACTTTTATTTCCAGACTTGCTAGTGAAAGCTACCACCTCTCTAATCCCCACACTCCCACCAGAGGAAGCCCCCCAGGCCGGGCACAATATGCTTAGTCTTGTTTGGGATAGAGTCAACTCCATCTTCAAGTTAACCACTTGACTAACTCAAGTTATGTTTGGGAACAGCATCTATCAACAGCAGCGCCTTTGATGTGTGTCAGTTACATATATGTTATGAATTATAGATTCAAATAACACACCCAGTACACTACAGAGAAATTTTTATTAGAAATCAGAATAGTCTTCCTTCTGCCATGTCATATGCTGGTTTATATACTCGTAATGTGATCACAGATGGCTTGCTGGTTGGTGATGGTAGTCCCTTTTGTCCATTAAAAGGAGACTTGATTAGATTTATTATCTTTTATGGAACTGAATCAAAAGTGACTGTAAATGAATATAAACCAAAGAATTTTTTCTACAATTTCTATTACCTAATAGGAGGAATGTTTTCTTTCCTTTTTTTTTTCTCTTGTTTGTATCTTAGTATTAACATAAATGTATTTTATTTAAAAGGAAAAACATTCTCTAGCTTTATTTTGTATGTATTGTTATTGTCGGTTAGAAGGTTTCTAGGGACCATACCAATTTCTGTACTGAGCCTAAATAAATTATCAGCATTTCCTATAATCATTTTCAGCCACACATGGAAACTCACCAGCATGCTATCCACTTGCTCCTTTAATGTTTCTTTAATATACTTTGCATTCCTCTGTGGCCAGAGACTAGGAGTGCTAATTTTGATTTGATGAAATGAATTTATAAATATACTAATTGAACACCCGCAATTTTGCCCAGTGCTTGAGAATATTTGCAAACATTCACTCTTCCTCCAGGCGACCCCATGTTGTTCCATTCATGTCACTCTATATGTGTATCCGGTGCTGTCGGCACTCCGTCTAACTGTTGTCACCTTCTCCACATGTTCATTCCTTGCTGCCATTGATTCTCCTCATTCCATCTCTACACTTCTGCTTATGTGCTGCATCTACACCCAGCCTCCTAAAAAGGCTCTGGACTATGTTCAAGATCATTCTTCTGGTGTTTCCAATGAGGTAAAAACAAGTTGTTTCTCTCTTTTTCAGATTTCTCCCTTACAGGCTGTGACTATGATTCTGAACATCTGTGTTTTACATTTCACTATAGTGTCTAAGCTATTTTTGAAAAATCTATCTTTGCATCATTGTGTTGTATCTATTATGATTGCCTAGACATTAATTATACCAAAGATGGTGGCTGTTTCTGAACTCTAGGTGAACTAACCATTTATAGTTAAACTATTCCGTGCAGTTCTGGTATTCAACAGCATGAAAATAAAAAATCAAAAGTACTGGTCTTGGTGAATTTATTAAGCATCTGTTTTTATTAGGCTGAGTAAGTAAAATACTATTAGAAGCCTTCTTAGTACCGTTTTATCATTGTGCTTAGAGGTGTAGATTCAGAGTTTAGATTCTTAGATAATCAGATGCCTATGTCCTACATATTCCCAAAATTTATTTTTATTCTTTCCTTTTTCTAAATACTTATGACTTGTGGGTATTATCATCAATCAAGAAGAGGGCTGGCAAATACCTAGAAAGTTGTGTGTCACAATTTCCCAGGTCCACAACCTCGACAGACATTACTAATCCTTCCCAACACTATAATCCAGGCAGCCACGCTAACAGATAATCACTGGAATATGAGATGAAATGTATTTGCAACCTCTGTTTAAGAATGCTTAGGACAATCAGCCAGGTGAAAAATTTTTGCCAGGAAGTGTAAATTTTTATTTGAATCAAACAAAGAGAGTATGAAAAAGGCAGAAATAATCCAGAGTCAAAAGCTTTTACCTTGATCTCTGCAAAGAAAAATGGAAAATTATTTTGGAAAACAGATAAAGGATTCACTAGAAGACAAAAGCAAAAATGGCACTGTTTTGCTAACCATCTGCTATATAAAAGCCTCCTTTTAAGAACTCTTAAAAGCAACTAGCATGGGAGCAAAGCTAATAAACTGAATTTCACACAATGGTTGCCCTGTGGTCTTAATTGAATACAATAACACAATAAATATCTTATTTTCATTGAAAGTCTTAAATACGTGCAACTAAAAAAAAATAAATAAAACCAGAACACTTATGCTATTGGTGGTACTACTGACACATGGTGGTGACCACTGGAATTGCAAGCTTAGAGTCACGGGAGAAATACCCAAATTTTTTAGAGCTGCAACTTGCAATTCCAAATTATTCCCCCTGTGGTAAACATCAGAGTATGTGTTAACACAAGGAAGTGATAAAAAATATTTATATATTAATCAAGTAAGATAATCATGAACATTCTGGGTTATTTAATTTAGTCATTTCCAAAGGCTTATATTTTGTAACCATGCAGCTAGTCCTATAATCTGAAGGAAATAAGATAAAACAAGCAGTTCTATTCTGTATGTTATGTTACCTTCATATCTGAAGAAAGGGAATCATTTCAACATATGAACAACCCAAGAATTTATTTTGAAATTCAATGTGGTCAGATAATTGTCTCAGATAATTTGGTCAGATATTTCTAGGATGTGTTTAAGGTAATTGGTTCATTGACACCTGAAATGTAATTGAGAGAGCATCATATCCAATTTACTCGTTTTTCAGTTAAGAAAAGTATAATGCAACAATTTTAAGAAGTCCAAAAATTGCATGGTAAGATGGTGGTGAAAAAAAATAAAACACAGATCTCCCAACCTTCACTCCAGTGCTATTTCCTTTGCATCATGTATTTTAGAACTTCCAAGAGATGTATTTAGAGATTAAGTCTTTTAGAAACAAGTTATTTATGTAATACTATTCCTTGCTAACTAATGACTTTCTGTGAAATGAGTTCCAGTATTTAACATTACACAATAATAATTGGGCATAAAATAATGGGAACATAATTCTATGCATTCTACAATTTGATGGTAGTGGCAAAAAAAATCACATAAAAATGCACTTTGCTGGTAGTTAAAACTATTTGTCATTATCTCTTTGAGATTGAAAGGGAATGTTGTATGATGATTCTAATAGCATATTAACTATGTTATTAATTTCACATCATGGAAGAGTGTAGGAAAACATACTCTCATAACATACCTGGATTCTGTCTTTAATAACCTTTTGTTAAACATTTCTGGTAAAAATTATAATTGGTTAGACATTACCCCTTTGCTACCATTTATCAAGTGCCTAGTATATTTCATGAATAACATATTCTTTTAATCCATAAATATAACTGAAAAATTGACATTAATAAAGAATAGTTAAGGGCTTTTTTACTATTTACATTTGAAACAGGCACAAAGTTAAGGACTTTGAAGCAAAGTTTAATCACATGATTTACTTAGCAAAAAGAGTGATTTAATGTCTGTACTTCATTAAAATGACATTCTAGGTGTGTTACAATAACAGTAATATGTGAATATTAAGTAAATCATAATGGATAAAATGGGTTACCTTTTTTCTGGAGACAACTTGCAACTCATGATGAGTCCCCTAATTAGTGTACCAGTTTTCCTCTTAGTCATCAATCTAGACTTTTTACTTTTACCTTATAATTTAATACTGAACTTTCCCTCCTGAGCATACACAAAATCACAAAACTGGTTTTAGTTGATTTTGGATGTGGAAACCAGCACAAGGAGGAATAATTGTGGTTTCTTAGCCTAACTCTAAAGCACAATTAATTCATCAGTTCTTATGCTATGTTTTATTTCACATTACAATGTCATTTAGGCTCTTCGTAAGCTGACAAATTCAAATTTTCTGATCACTCTAGTGGTGTTCTAAGAGTATTCTGAATTTTGACACTTTTTGATGGCCAGCAATTTTGATCACTTTTGGATATCCCATGAAAGCCATGATCTACACAAATGGCAATGCTCCTCTGCAAATATGTAGACTTAATATTTCTAAATTATAACTGTTTCTTTATCTTTGTTTTTTGGTTTATTTTACTTGTCTGCATTCTTTCTTATTTAGTACCTATTTTTCTACCTTTCCCACTTCCAGTTCAGAATTCAGCAAATTAAAATAATCATGCAATCTTACCAGACTAGCAAACTGAAAAATTTTTCTAATTTATATTTGTTGAGAAAGGAACTTAAATATTTTCTAGAAACTAAAAACAATAGAATATACTTTTCCTGTCTAAAAGGAGGGTGGGAATATTCTTGTGCAGAGAGATGTTTTTGTTTGTTTCTGGGCAAGATTCCATTCTCATTCAGTAAGATAGAATTAAAATATTAGTTAATATAAGCAATTTAGAGTTCTGCATGGGGGCTTTTCAGACTGATATACATAAAGAATTGTAAAATCATATACTAGTGTTTTAATTGGTTAATTGGCACTAGTTTACTAATTAATCAAAAATAGAGTTATAGAAATAGTTTGTAAAGTGAGATTTAATTTCCATTAGTAAGTTTTTAATATTATTGTAAAATGTTTCTGTTTGATAGCAACTTAAGATAAAATTTATCAAATCTTACCTTTCTGGCTGACATTTTTTAACTTCCATATAGATGTATACTTTTAAACTAGAATTTCAGTTGTTTATCAAACCAAAGTTCATCATGATGATGAATTGATCATCAAATATGACCAAAGCCAAAACTGTATATACTTGGTATATATTTCCCTACACGTTCTACATATCAAACCACAACCACTTTCATCTTGCATTGTCACCTCAAATATTAGGTAGCTCAGAACTAATCCTCTCTTGCTTTTTAGATATTTCAGCAATTATTCCAGTAGATGAACACGGAAAATGAAAAATTCATATCTACCATTTTTGCTTAGTATCAATATCAGTGTCCAGTTTAAAATGAAAAGAAATGTTTAAAGTCCCCTAAAAAAAAGATTATATTTTAATTTGTTAGGTCATTTATTTTAAGCTAACCCTGAACTTACCTAATTAGAAAGATATAAATCTGTACCTGATTGAAGTATCAGAGATATCAGTTTATTCAAATCAAATTCTGCGGGTTCATTAAAATGTCATGTCTAGTAATATAGCCATTTTAATTTATCTAAATAAAACGTTTTCTTTTTCTTTCAAAACAAAAAAAAAAATGTCATGTCTATACTGACAGATGAAAGAAGCCTCAAGTTCTGTTTATATTTTATATTTTAAAGATACGGCCTGTCAACAACAATAAAAAATTATAAAGATTTATGTTTTATAAAGATTGAATGATGACTGCATATTTTTTTTTTTCAACATCAAACCATTCCTGTATGTAGGAAATTTCTATTTACGGTCAATAGACAAGATCTGAAGTTAATGTTGTATAATAACTGTAGCTCTTATTTCAGTAGTCCTGTGGAAATATTGATTTTCCCTCCATGCAATGCTTGAGTTATGGATAATTTGAGTTACACAGAGAAATGTAATACAGAATATCAGAAGAGAAAGTAGATAGGAACAAAGAATAAATCGGGTTGCATGATTTCTCTTTGGGAAGACATTTTTATAATCATCATAAAGGGTTCCTTCAACCTCAATTTTTATAATATTCTTTTTAGGATGCCTAATTTAATGTTGACAGGTGAATGAAATTTTGACATGATAAAAATTTTCATGGAACTTATTATTCTATTTTAACAGGCCTCCTTGTATCAGTCCTCTATAGACAGAAGCCTGGAAAGACCCAGTAGGTAAGAATCTCATTAATATCATCCAAGTAGAATAATCTATACCAGTGGTTTCTTTTTCAATCGTAATATTATTCAGTGAATAGTAATAAGGATTGTGTAATATCATTCATTTTTATGTTAAGAACCCTGCCTCAGGAACTTGCTTTGTTTTGTCTCTACATCATTTTATATGATCACATTCAAGAATTTGTAAAAAATATAAGTGAAATAAATCTGGATTCCTTCACAGACTGAGAAATTCTTCTCTTCCCTGTCTCTGCTATACTGTCTTCTTTTCTTTAGATGGGGATTATAAATAATTAATTTTTCAATGTTGTTAGGCGGTCTTTATGATATTTGAGAAAAAATTATAGATTAAAAAGTGTTATATACATATTTGTTAATTATACTCAGACCACTCAAACCAGAAATGCTTTTACTACCAATAAATAAGGTTTACTATATATGAGGCATGCTAAGAACATGAAAATATTCAATCTTAACCTAACATATAGGTTAAATAGTATTGTCCCCACTTTATCTCTGAGAAAAATTAGGCTCAGTAACTTTACGAAGTTTACACAGTCAGCAAGAAGAGAGACAAGATGGAATTGAACAAGATGTCTTGTAACTACTAGGCTAACTACCCTCAGAGTCTGCCCAAAGTTAGTCTTGCTAGTAAGCTTTAAATATCACACTTACTTAAAAATACTACAAAATCCAGACATAGCTCAATAGTAATATCGAATAACACATACTCCCAGCCATATTGTAGCATCAACAACAAATATTTACATGATAGCATCAAGTTACCCTTCTATACATTTCTATCAACATGAGCAGAAACTTTGTGAATTGGGTCCTTCATAAATTAGCTTGATGAGCGCCATCCAACTACAGTACAATTACTAAGAAAAAACTACCCGAGCCCCTCCTTTTTTATCTTATGCATCTATATGTGCACCTAAAATTTTTGAAATGTTTGAATTTTAGAGTTTTAATTTGCCGTAAGATGGGCTGTAAAGGTACACAGATGTTCACATGCCAGGGAAGTCACAGCAAAAGCAGCTCCAGGAGATGGGGTATCCTCTTTAGAAGAGTACGAATTCTGAAGTCTGCCCCACTTCTATACGTCCCAGGCACGTGTATTTGGTGTGGTCATTTGCGAAACTGTGATAACAGTACCTACATAACTCAGGTTTGCTGAGCCAGGATAACTAAGACAAAAAATGTAATAAAGCACCTAACATTCTGCTGGGGTCCGTGGATGCTGGTTTGGTGTTGCTGCTGTCGCTGTTGTTTATATAATTTTATCCAGTGATTTGATATGTTGTGGTTTGTGTTCCTTCATTCTCTAATGTTTGTTTTAAACGATGCTGTACTTAAACTCAAACCGTGATACGAACTCCCTGCCATTTTAGACTGTGGACACCATTTTATACAACGCTGGGAAAGGAATCCTTAATAGTTTATTTGCTTGCCAGATTACTGGTCATTCATTATTTCAATATAAAATGTTGGAATTCTGGTATGTGGTCTTCCAAAGCTAAGGTTAGCAGGAGAAGCTGCAGGCAGACCTAAAGTGAGAGACGCTGGTCTCCCTAGAGGTCTTCCTTTTTTCTAGTTCTTTCCTCCCTTTTGGCACCCCCCTCTGGATGCCGTTATGCTGTTGGAGCCCTCCTTTGTAGAGAAAAGATACATGATACAAATCATGACACTAAATTCTTAGTCACAACATATGCTAAAGGAGAATTTTGACTTTAAAAGACACTTAATAATTTATGTTCACACAAAAACCTGCACACGAGTGTTTACAGTAGCATTATTCATTATTGCCAGAACCTGGAAACAAACAAGATGTCCTTCAATAGGTAAATGGATAAATAAACTGTGGTATGTCCATATAATAGAATATTATTCAGCAATAAAAAGAAAGGAGCTATCAAGTGACAAAAAGGCATGTAGAAACCTTAAAAGTATATTACTAAGTGAAAAAAGCCAATCTGAAATTTCGGCTACATTCTGTGTAATGCCAACTATGACATGCTAGGAAAAGCAAAACTATAGAGACCGTGAATAGATCAGTGGCTGCCAGGGACCACAGGGAGGAAGGGAGGAATGAAAAGGGGCAGGCAGCACAGGGAATGTTTATGGCAGCAAAATGATTTTATATGACACATTAGTGATGGACACGTGTCATTATACATTTTCCAAAACCCATAGCATGTTTAACACAAAGCACAAACCCTAAGGCAAATTATGCCCTTAGGGTAATAGTGTGTCAAGGCAGGTTCATCATTTGTGACAACATACCACATGAACAGAAGCTGTAACTAGTAGGGGAATCTATGTTCAAGAGGAAGGGAGTAAAAAGGAATTCTCTACGTTTTCCAATTAACTTTTCTATAAGTGTAACACTGCTCTTAAAAAAATAAAATCTAGGCCTGGTGTGGTGGCTCACGCCTGTAATCCTAGCACTCTGGGAAGCCGAGGCAGGTGGATAACTCGAGGTCAGGAGTTCAAAACCAGCCTGAGCAAGAGCTAGACCCTATCTCTACTATAAATAGAAAGAAATTAATTGGCCAACTAATATATATAGAAAAAATTAGCCGGGCATGGTGGCGCATGCCTGTAGTCCCAGCTACTCGGGAGGCTAAGGCAGTAGGATTGCTTGAACCCAGGAGTTTGAGGTTGCTGTGAGCTAGGCTGCCGCCACGGCACTCATTCTAGCCTGGGCAACAAAGTGAGACTCTGTCTCAAAAAAAAAAAATAGATAAATAAAATCTATTAATTTTTTTAAAAGGTGATTCTAAGGAAAGCATGTTTAATGTCAAGGAATGAGTTCCTAACGATGCAGCTTTGGAGTGGGGGTTTAGAAGTTAGACCATGCCACTAGCACTTTCCACTGGTCCTTCTGGTGCACATGTGAGCCTCCTCTAGTACCAATCAAACTGACAGGACTCCTTCTTTCAGTTCTGCAAGCATGGCCAGTGACTTCAGGAAACGGAGGAAGAGCGAGCCTGCAGTGGGTCCCCCGAGGGGCCTGGGAGATCAAGGCGCAAGCAGGATGAGCCCAGGCCAGGCGGACCTCCCAGGATCAAGCGCCACCCTTACAAAGCCTTTCATTAGTTCTTCTCCTTCTTCCCCCTCCAGAGCAAAAGGTGAGCAACAATAAGCAGACATGCAGACAGTGTACTCGTGTAAGTATCAGCCTAGAGAACCACGTGAGAGCTGGTCCAGGGATACTGACATGTGCCGGCTTTCACCTACAGTGTCTTGAATAAAATCTAGTCTCCGAACAAGAGCTTTCTTCCTACCCACCTGACTCGAGCTGGCAAGCCACTGGAGTTGCTTAAGAGATTCTCATTAACATCTGTTAATGTGTTTTTTTCCCAAAATCATTTTTTTAAACAAATTCAAAGTATCAACTAATTTATTGCCAAGCTATTAAAAGATGACATGTATAAATATTTACACAGAGTCAAAATTTTCTAACAACTTGCAAATTAATCAAATTTAGTATAGGAATTACATGCAGCAACAGAAGAAATTGTTGCCTAAAACATAATTGGTTTTGAGGAGTTTTTCTAAATTATTTAATTCTAGATTTTAAAAATTGTCTAACCTATGAAAGTCATATGCTCTGTGTTTTGGTCAAACATCACAGACTACCCATGTTCTGCCAGGTAACACAATGGCCAATTCACACAGTCCACAGTAAGAACTAGCTGGTTTCAACCCATAATTATAAAATGTAGAAATCACCAAGACATTTTTCTGGATGGCCTGTATCCTCCCTGGAAATTTAGTGAGCTTGTGAGCTCAGTGTTGGGAGGGAGAAGGTCACTCCTGCAGGTAGCTGGAAGACCCTTTAGTGTATTACTGCCTTAGGCACAGGGCTATTTCTGAGATGGAGAGTGAGGATTGAACTGGAGTCCACAGGGACCTAGGGCTAAATTTGGGATCCCACAGTCTCCTCTAGCCTCTTGGGATTAAAACAGAAGAGAGAAGCATTTTGAAATGTGTGAAGAAAATGAGCACTGATGGAAGTTTCCACAAAACAGCACAGATTCAGCCACATTATCAACTACAAACCCTTAAAGTTTTGTCGCATGGATAGTTAAAGCTAAGCAGTAGGTGATTTGTGTGCAAAAGAGAGACTGTTCATGAGGATCAGACTCTGAGAGGGTGGAAGGCCTAAACTTTCTAAGGCCTAGTACAGCTGTGATTATTAACTGATGGTTCTAGTGAGTGAGCCCAATTCATCATACCTTCCCTCCTATTACCAGAGATGCTTTTATACGATTCTACTCATTTATGCAAACAAATATCTTAAGGTAACAAGTAGGTCATGAAATACCATTGATTCATTTTTCTTGGATACATCCCAAAAGTTAAAAGGATTCTGATGCATTTAGATTTTTTTTAATCATAGGGAGTATTAAATCAACTTCCTTTCCCAAACACCACTTATCTACTTAATGTGCTTATCTGCTTTTGAAGAATTTGTGGACGATTGTGAGGCATGAGATGTCAAAAGAGATATTTTTCCTCCACTAGGTTTTATTTTTAAAAAGAAAATGTCCCGTCAGATGTAATTTGGCCTCTCATTTATTAGTTAACTCAGCAGAGCAAAAGAAAAGAACATTTCCTTACATATTCTAAATTGAGGTCAAGTTTAGCTCTCTATTATCAAACTGCAAGTGATTTGAAATGATAGAAACCCTCCCCAGAATAAAAACAAGTATTTACCTCTGATGAAAGTCTTCCATGATATCCAGTTATCCTATGGGAAAAATGTGCCTAATAAGGGGTTAAACGTAAAGCAATTAGAGAGGTAAATTAGTTTGTTGAAAGAGGCCCTTGCTGTTTTTTTCTTGGAAAAATATAAGCATGAATAGTTAGCAGCGTTGTGATTTTGCAATTTTTGAAAATACTTTGTCTTTAGCTTTTTCTAACCGATGCCCATAAAAAATTATTGGATATAGTTATGGCAGTATTAATGAAATGTAAATTTATAAATTCTTCTCTACCCATATATTTTTTTATAAGTCAAATGACACTCAAATCCTGAGCCTATTAAGTTAAGTCTATAATACTTCTGGCACTAATGGTTAAACCTTTAAATTACTACCAGGTCATGCTATTAGCTGAAGAAGTACTATTGTGTTTTTGGCAAACCCTACTGGCAGGAAGGTGCATGAACTATGTAACAGAAATAGATGCATTAGCTATACCAGTTACTTCTTATACATCGTTTTGTTAACTCTGTCTGCAAAGCTGTGTTCACTGGAAAAGTATTATCTTGCCTTAGAATTAGACTTTTTTCTCTAAAGTTGAGGCTACAATCAGTGTTTAGATTAAAACACACTAACTGCTTTCTCTTTGCTGTGCTGTCTGATGCTTACTGACAATGCTTTCCTCTCTTTGTGAACCTTTTAACTTCTCCAAATGTCTCTCTTCTACCACGCTGCTCTGGATTAAAAGGTGGGGATGATAGCAAAATGTGTCCATCCCTTTGCAGTTACTCAGGGCTCAACGGCAACCCCTCCAGTGAGTTAGATTACTGTAGCAATTACAGACAGCACTTGGACGTCCCGCGGGACTCGCAAAGGGCCATCACTTTCAAGAATGGCTGGCAGATGGCCCGGCAAAACGCAGAAATCTGGAGCAGCACCGAAGAAGCCGTGTCCCCCAAAATCAAATCCCGCAGCTGCGATGATCTCCTGAACGACGACGACTGCGACAGCTTCCCGGACCCGAAAGCCAAGTCGGAGAGCATGGGCTCCCTGCTGTGCGAGGAGGACCCCAAAGAGAACTGCCCCGCGCCCTGGGCTTCCCCCTACATCCAGGAGGTCCGCGGCGGCACCGGCAGGCCGAGGCTCAGACGCCGGCCCGCCCACAACGCCCCAGGCTTCCTGAAAATGTACAAGAAGATGCACCGCATCAACCGCAAGGACCTGATGGCCTCGGAGGTGATCTGCTCGGTGAAGTCGAGGATCCTGCAGTACGAGGAGGAGCGGCGGCGCTCGGGCCTGCTGCACAGCCTGAGCCAGTCCTCCACCGAGGAGGTGCCCCGGGACATGGTCCCCACCCGCATTTCCGAGTTCGAGAAGCTGATCCAGAAGTCGAAATCCATGCCAAACTTAGGGGACGACATGTTATCCCCCGTCACCCTGGAGCCGCAGCAGAATGGTCTCTGTGCCAAGAGGCGCTTTTCCATCGAGTCTCTGCTGGAGGAAGAAACCCCGAGCAGGCACCCTTCTCAGGGACCGCGCAGCTACGCGTCCGCCGCCCTGGTGCCCATCCACATCGAGGTCACCAGCGACGAGCACCCGCGCGCGCACGTGGAGTTCTCCGACAGCGACCAAGACGGGGTCGTGTCTGACCACAGCGACTACATTCACGTGGAAGGGTCGTCCTTCTGCAGCGAAAGCGACTTCGATCACTTCTCCTTCACCTCCTCCGAAAGCTTTTACGGATCCAGCCACCACCACCACCACCACCACCACCACCACCGGCACCTGTTCAGCTCCTGCAAGGGCAGGTGCCCGGCCTCCTACACACGCTTCACCACCATGCTGAAGCACGAACGGGCCAGGCACGAGAGCGCCGACGAGCCCAGGAGGCACGAGGTGGACCCTGGCCTCTCCAAACTTGCTTTCCTAGTCAGCCCTGTGCCTTTCCGGAGGAAAAGAAATTCCGCTCCGAAAAAACAGGCCGAAAAGGCAAAATGCAAAGCGTCTGTGTTTGAGGCCCTGGACTCTGCCCTGAAAGACATCTGCGACCAAATTAAGGCGGAGAAGAGAAGGGGGAGCTTGCCCGACAACAGCATACTGCACCGCCTCATCAGCGAGCTGCTGCCGGACGTGCCCGAGCGGAACTCGTCCCTGCGGGCGCTGCGCGGGCGCCCCCCGCCCCAGCCCCCGCACCCGCTGCCCCCCGACGGTGCTGCCCGCGGCTCCCCGCGCCGGGGCCAGGCGGGGAGGGTGCCCCACAGTGCCTCTTTCCAAGACGGGGACGCGACCGGCAACAGCTACCACCACCAGGACCGCGAGGGTGCGCTCCAAGGTGGATAAGCTTTTCTTTCTTTCCCTTTGGGGTTCAGAGACCCACCCCCTCTGGCTCTGTCATGTTCCATTCCACCATCTCATCATCCCCGAGCGGGGAGAACTCCTGGCATCGTTCTGTGTTGTGAAGCACGTGCTTGTTGTCTTACTGAGTAGTGCTCATGTGCCCGTGTGATGCTTGCACTTGATGTGTGGCCTAAAAGCGACCCTCTCAGCTCACAGAAGTGTACCCATTCCAAAGCGAGAGGAAAACCCATTGCCGTAGCTTGGCCTTAGGGTGGAAACAGCTGTTCCACTGAGACAACGCAATAAATGATTCGCTAAATTAAAAAGAATTATTGCAAGATGGAAGCCATAATTGAATATCAGTGTCCCTAAGAGGTCTTTTTTTCATTGTAAAATGAATCAAACTAATAGTTTAACAGATAGCCTTTTCTTTGATTATGTTAACTTTGAAACTTTATACTCATTCCCTCAATTAATAATTTGCTCATATTCTATATAGAAGACAGTATATAAAAACATTCAGGAAGCAGTGCTGAAACATGTGATTAGTAACTGATGGACAACTAAAGAAATTAGGACTTCTTTAATACTTTCTCCATTTAAAGGACACAAATGTGAAAAAAAAAATTGTGAATGTATCTTTAAGCTGTAAATATAAAAGTGCTGTTGCCACCATTCAGTGTATTCATTTTCTGTCATTTTCCATTACTTAATGTATTAACTTTCTATTTCTGCTAAAACAATCCTATATTTAAATTTAAATTAGACTATTTAAGTTAGAGGTGACTCTTAGCTCCATTTTCATAGATAACTTTGAAATGGCAACACAAGGACAAATGGCAATTCAATGCAGAGGACCTTTTTTTTTTTTTTTAAAGATTTACATAACTTAAAAGCTCAGGGTGTTTTAATATTTTTATCTGATTCTTTTCATTAATTCTTAAAGCGCATCTGTTTGCTATGTAAATTGAAGACACTGGATTGAACATTCCAGGCTGAAACTTGGTCAACAAAGAAGCTTCTATATACCAGATACTACAAAGTGCTTTACATGCAGTATCTAATTAAAACTGTCATAAACATAAGGGATGGGTATTTTTGTGAGCACTCTTTTCAATTTAGAAAACTGGGGCTCAGAGTAGACAAGAAATTTGCCCAAGTCACACAGATAGCAGGTGACAGAAAGGAGATTCAACCCCCTAATAATTCAGATTTTGTAGTATAAAATTTAAACTCAATAGATGAAAAAAGATATAGTTCAAATTTCATATTACTGTAACATATATGACTCAATTATTAATTATTATTGCACAAATTTACTTGTTACTATTTATCTTTGCTTTCATTTATACTATGCATCATGCTTCCAAAAGTAATTCAGTAAATTAAAATGTTTAAAATAAATTTCTACAATTAGAAATTTTCACTGATTAAAGGATCAGAATCTAATTTTTTAATAAATTAGCTACCTTCTCCACTTTTTCCATATCCTAATACAATCATCTTCTAATTTTATGTGCAGATAAAGTATATCATTGAAACATTTTGAGAGGGCTTTGAAGAGCATTAAAGAGTATTTTGTTTTTTAATAAAATATTTACTTTGCAATTTTGTTTAGCCCAAGTGAAAAAATAGTTTACATTTCATGGATTAGTAAAAGTAATTTAAAATTTATAATCATTATGAGAGCCCTATAATCATGAAAGTATATTAACAGAATGAAAAATATACTGCACATAATCTTCTAGCATGCATTGAAATAACTGGCCAAGTTTTACCTGAAACTTTTACTTATATACCCTTCCTAAACCTAAAGACTTTGGAGTTTGCAACTCACAGAGAGTTAGCACTTGTCCTTATATGTCACGCAACTGATATCCACTTGTTGTAAACAGTCAATTCTTTCATATAGTCAAAGTACTTAAAACCTTTAAACAACATCTTCTTACAATAGATCATTTTAAATTCCTTCACAGGTGGATAAATTCAATTTTATTTTTAATGCTTCTTATTATTCAGGATAACCAAATTTATTAAGGGATAAAAGAAAGAATTGACAAATTTTGACCCAGTTACATTGGTAAAATTCTATAACATATACTACTTGAATACATTTGCCCTTCAGTTACATTTCCGAATTATAAGTCACGTAAATGCATAAGGCATAAGATACTATTAAGAATTACTCGCAATCATAATTTTGTAATGTAATGATTTATATTTTGCTTTAAGATGAACAAAAAGAATTCAAAATGTTATAAGCAATTTAGCAACTGATATGATGCTTTATATTTATCCCTTAGTTTTTGGAATAAATATTTATGTTCTGATAAGATGGTTTATCAGCTAGGATAGGGAAGGCCATAGGTAAAAGGTATGATATCTCATGACTCCATAAGTATTTAAAGAGAGAGAGAGAGAGAGAGAGAGAGAGAGAGAGAGAGAGAGAATGGACGTGACCATGCTCCTGTCATCAACATATTTTCTTTGGTTTTATCTCTTTCTTTTTCATTACTACATTGTTAAATTGTTCCACAAAATGTTTCTGTTTCTACAATTTGATGCTATTTTCAAATTCTCTATCTTTTATAGGCCTTATAACAGTAATTATAAAATGTAGGCAAAAAAAATAGAAAAAGTTTTAAAAATCTTTTGGGATAAAAAAATCCCTATAACCATAAATTGTCTATATCAGATGTGGGAGTATAGTTAATCAGCAATGTAACAATCAGATTTATGTATGTAGTTATAGTACTTCTGTACCCTGGGATTTTTCCTTTTGAAATGATCTTGTTTTTGTGTCTTATATCACAATGGCCTGTGAGTCTTACACTCATGTCTTTAATAGTGGTGTCTCTCTCCAAATTTGGAGGAAAAGATAATTGCCACCAGGGAAAATGGCGGAGCAAGGCCCTTGTTATTAAGTGAACACGCACCCTGACCTGCCCTGTTCTTTCCAATAGACCGTGAGTCCCCGAGAAGTTACTCATCTACCTTGCCTGACTTGGGGAGAAGTACGCCAAGGGAAAGAAGAGGAACTCCAGAAAAAGAGGTAGGTCGTTTAACAGTGTTGGGGTCGTTTACCACAACATATTTACAGCACTTGCCAGCAAAGCTGACACACCCAGCCAGTAAAAACCCCAGACTGAAAACGTGAAAATAACCACTGAGGAACTAGAAACAGTTTTCCTGGTATGAACATAGGACCTGAGGAGGTTTGCTCTCTGACCCTGGCTCCAGGTCTTCCACAGTTGTGGTCCGGTTTTGGCAAAGAGGCCTTTCCAAGTCTCGACCTGATGCTCGTGAACGAACAGGTGTGGTCTACAGGAGTCCTCACTTGGGCCGCCTCGTGGAGGAAGCAGGTTTCCTCTGTGCAAATTCCTGGCCCACTGGCCTAGGAGAAAGCCCTGTGTCAACCGTGTTGCAAACCAATACAAATCACACACAAAATATGTTTGCTGGCTTACTTTTGTAGGAGGAGTTCTCTGGGAAAAAAAAAAAAAAAACCTCTTTAAATCAGCCCAGTTCTCAGGGACACTGGCCCTGGGAACCATGTGCCACCTGACTCTTTTGGTGCTTTTATTATGATTCAGAAGGAGTTGTGTCCATCTGCAGAATGTACAGCAATTGACCCACCACAGTTATTCTAGGAAAAGCTTTTGTAACAGTCAAATGACACCCAGGTCAGAATCCTCTGCAGGCATGTTATTCTCTGATTATGGCATTAATCCACCTGAGTTCCTAAAAGGCGAAATATAACAGCAAATAGGCCCTTTATATCTTGCTATAACTTAAATGTCTAAATGCAGAACTAATTGATTTATTTGTAAGTTCAATATAGGATTTATAGTACATATGTTTAATCATTCCTTGAGGTTTCTTGCATGCTTGTGAAATTGCTTCCTTAAAGGAAATCCAAATTTTAAGTTAGCGCTAATTATTTATCTTCCTTTTCAGAAATTGCCTGCAAAAGCTGTATATGATTTTAAGGCTCAGACATCTAAGTAAGTAAGATAAGTATTCATCATATGATTCAAGTGACTTTAAATATGTTAGTAATGCTTTAAGAGATCACTATTGCAATGGGATGTGTTACAAATAAGGCCTAATTCCCAATGCGGCGATCTACTCTAATTAAATAGTTCCTTCAGAATTAACTAGGATAGGGTAATTTTATTTTCATTCTGAGTTTAGCTAAGAAACACTGAGTTTCAAATTACTTTAAACATATTAGATAGAGCACAATGCATTCAAAAGGATAGATTAAAAAAAGAAATTAAAAATCTTTGTTTCTAGAATGAATTTAAAATAAAGTGTTTGGGGTAATTAACCCTAGTTGGGGGCATTTGATTACATTTATTTATCCAACTATATCAAGAATAGTTTGTGGGGTTGATGGCTAGAACTGAGTACAAAGATTCATATAGCAAAACCTCCATCTCTCAGCCTTCAAAGTTTAGAGATTCTGAGCAAAGTTCTCTCGGGTGCTCTTTTGGTGTTGGCTTTTTCCAGCTCCTGTGTTGCAATATTTCTTTTGCCTTTTTTCTTGAGGAACTTGTTCATCAGCTAGGCATGTGGTTGAGGAAGCTAGTACTAAGTACACCAGTAGACTTAAATAGGAGGAACTTGTTCAGATTTTTTGTGGCCCATGTGCACACACCTTACTTAAGAAACTTCAATCTCTAGTAGAATTCAAGATACATGTGGAATTCATTGTAAATTGCCATTAAATTATACCGTTTTTTAAACTGAATATAATAATCAAAATATTTTATTCATAAAAATGCATATAATATTGTTTCAGAAACTGTGTCTGCCAAAAGACATGTAAAAAATAAAATCACTCAGAATTTGATAATGCTGCTGAGATAGGGGATGAACTAAATAAAAAACATGCTATTTAGAAATTAAATCCTATGATTTAAATCCTATGTAAAAAATAAAATCCTAAAGAAAAGCTTACATCTTTTTTTGGATTAAATAAGTAAGATTTGCTTTGTTCCTCTTGCACTCTGGTCCTAATTACTGTTCTTTGGAGACAGTGTGACAATTTGCACAATGGATGTCAGTTTTATAGAATGATAATGTAGAGCACATACATTTCATTTCTTCTTTGTGACAATAATGAAAGCTTCCTTAAATACATAAAACCCTGAGGAATGGCAGGGGATACAAAATAGCAAGGAGATATAACATCCACCCAGGGCTCACGGGTGCTTTGAGAAGTCCTAAAAAAAAAAAGCTTTGGTGGGAAGATTAACATGCAGCATGGAAGACAGGTGCTAGGTTGTGGACTATGTCACTGGATTTTGAAGACCAAGCCCCTCACCTCCTCCATGGGCCACATCCTTATCGAGGGTTTCAGGGAAACTCACTTTCCCCAAGTGCTGCTTTTGCCAAGGGTTGTCTATTCCACCTTCACCTTTCACCAAGGTCATGACAAGGTCTTTCTAAACCAACAAGATGGAATTTTATAAGCCTCCAGAGAAGTAGACTAAATAACCACCCATGGAAGCCATTTCCTAATTTCAGTAAAGAAAAACATATGTCTATCCTATCATAAATAAATTGGTCTTATTGCAGCTTAATCACATTCCTCTTGTTCTGTTCTCGGGAGATGTGAGGACCAGTTGTTTATCATAACCAGTGTAGTTTACGTATTTGACAAAAATCAAAGTGATGGGCACCATGTGGAGCTTTAAAAGGCTCACATACTCAGACAACACTGGAAGTGATGGAAGGACTAGCCACATTTTTAAGTCATTTTAGTTAATAGTTAGATGTGAGTGCTTTTTGTGCCTACCATCTTATGAACCAACAAGAGACAGATATATCTGTTTTTAAATAAACATCTGTTTAAAAGCTATTTTTCTTAACCTAATTCAAGAAAGTCTAATAAAAAAATAAGTTTTAAAATACAGATAACTCATGCACCAAGTGTAATGTTTCAATTTTTAAATAGGATAAAGAGACAACACACCCTTTCCAAAGGTTGTCAATGCCACTATTCAAAAGTGGGGGGAGGGGAGAGCAAACTTATGAAAGTGGGACTCCTAAAAATTCTGAGATGAGAGGAACACAGTTTTGAAAACTGGAGAGTAAGACAATTTTCTTTTTTCTAGAGGACTTCAAAATTTTAAATGACTATACAAATACAAAAGAGTTCTTTTCATATCTAAAAGAAAAAAATTGTTGTCTCTAACTCACATGTATATTTTTTAAAAAAAAGGTAATTTCATTTCCAGAAACAAAACATAGCTGGGACAAATAAAACTGCTGGGTTGTAAACATTCAATATCATGTTTTGTTTTTTTGTCTTGTGTTTTTTACATCAGGCATTTCCAAGAAGGAAGTACTGCATCTGAATGTAAAGCTCTGAATCATCTTTGTTTTTAGAGTTAATGAAAATTTAATGTACTTTCAATTGTGAAGATTTTAGCACTTTTAAATGTGCAATAATTATTTTAATATGCAACTTTTTAAAGATTAATTCTTTTAATCAATGAGAATATTCTACATTTGATTAAACCTATCTCCATCATATAGTCTGCACTAATAAATGACACAACTTAAAATTCTGAACTAAACAATGCAGATAGATGATCCAGGAGTGGGATGGCAGATGTGTGGGAAAGTGGGGCTCTTGGGAAGAGACACAAATTAATTACCCTCCATCAAAGTATAATTATGGAGGCAAAATAATGAAACAACATAATTACCGGGGGTGATAAAGCCAGGAAAAACTGATGTAGCGAGAGTGATAAATGTAGGCATGAATTCTTCAAAATGAATAGTGTCTTCATAATTTAAAGTTCTAAATACTGAAATGTATCTACTGTCTCCTTAGAAACAACCAAAATGGAAAAATAGTTATTGTCTTAAAAATATTTTTTTTAAAACTAAAAATACAAAGAAAACAACAAACCTTGGTGCATGTCTTTGCACTTAAAATATATTTATCTTTGTGTCCCATTTAAAAATAAAAGTATAACAGAAATAAATTCTTTATCAAGATATTCTATTTAAACACCTGTCAACCAACTTCAAAGATCCACAAATGTTTCCAGTGTTGGCACTTCTGTTCTGAGGCTACATGATATTTATTTTCCTTGTTGTAAGCTTGAATACATCATAGGGGCTAAGTTAGGGGTAAGTTAACTAATTAGCTAACTAGATTCAGAACAAAAAATTCAGTGCAAAGCTAATCCATCATTTTGCCAAGCTCCAGAGAGCCTCTACTATAAATTAATGATTAGATAGCAATGGTCTGTCCTCTTCTTTAAATTCTTTGATTTCTATCTGTTACAATGTTTGTACTTGTTCTTTTTGAAATCATTTCCAAAGTTACAATGTTATAAGTGAATTCTGAGAATTTGCAAGGAACATTCTTATCTAACTGGGCTCAACAGATTTTTTAATATTGGAAATATATTTCCCAGACAATCTAGTGAGGGTGTCAATCTTAAGAATAATTGCTATACATCAAGAAAAAGACTATTTAAACATGTCTCTTCCAGGGAGTTGTCATTTAAGAAAGGAGATACTGTCTACATCCTCAGGAAAATTGATCAAAATTGGTACGAGGGCGAGCACCACGGAAGAGTGGGCATTTTTCCAATCTCGTATGTAGAGGTGAGTCCTTCCCCCTTCCCTCTTGCATGGTGGTTGTTTCAGAAGTCTCCACAGGTTCAAGTATCTGTTTTCCTTCCTAGAAACTCACACCGCCTGAAAAAGCCCAGCCTGCAAGACCACCTCCCCCAGCCCAGCCTGGAGAAATCGGAGAAGCTATAGCCAAATATAACTTCAACGCAGACACAAATGTGGAGCTGTCGCTGAGAAAGGTAACCAGGCTGTTTTCTTCATGGGTGCATTTGAAAAGACTGTATATTTTCTAAACTAAAATAGGTTATCTTCCTCCTTAGACATTTTTGTGTTTTCTGCATTCTCTACAAAGCTTTCATTCCTTAAGGCTGCCCAGAGTCTCTGTTCCCTGCTGCCCCTGTGTCCTTTCAGATGAGGCTCCCAGGGGGGTGCCCAGCTTCTCGGAGACACTCCTTCCATGGCCCAGCCCCTGGATGCAGGGCTGCAGGTCCCCTCCACTGGGTGCCTCAGGCTGAACACTGAGGAGTCATACATGTGGGAACATCAAAATGAAAACACACTTTGATGCACTTCAAAATATTGTTCACCTGCCACCTTATTCTTCAGTCTTTTAACAATGAGATGTTCCAATACTTAACATTTCTGTATCATGGAAGCAAGGAATGGTCCCGTAGCAATGAAGCTGCTCCCTGCCTGGGGGCCTTTCTGTGAGCATCTGTGCACAGCGTTTCCCCGACCGCCCTTCCTTGGACCTCCTGACGGACCCCAATTTTCTCTAGCAACCTATCCAATTCTAGCATCTCTTCTCAACAATATCAAAAATGACTCTTGTAACTTGCTGCTTTGCATAGCTAAGGATAATAAATGAACTATTTTTATTGCTTGCTAAACAATGACATATATTTGTTTGAGAGAATGGCTTGTCTACACGTAACACCGACTAGCTAGTAATATTTAAGGTGGTTCTACGACCTCCCTGCCTACGGGTGAAATCCTTCCCCGGGTGCAAGGAAAGGAAGTACTGCAGTTCTGGTCCTGGCAGAACCTTACCGCAGTCTCTCCTTTGAGTCCCAATTCTGCATCATTGACTGAGTTTCTTCCTCTCAGCAGGCTCCACCACCCGGCATGGAGGAGCACACTCAGCATTGCATGCACTCTGTCACCTTCTGTTCTGTGCTTTAAAGAAAGGCTTCTCCAGTGCATTTCATGGCTCAAGCCACAGCCTGTTCTTGGTGAATTAGAAAATCAGTGCAATTTTACGATTTGTGAAGATTCACTTTTCTTTAGTATGTTCTGTTCAGAGGTAGTGAAACATGCTAAATAAACCATCTAGCCCATCTAGTGTTTAGACAAGAAAGAGAACTTTCACCTTTAGTAGCACCTGAAGAAAGGCTCCTTATTGGACTAAAGTGATTGCCTGTGTAAGTGCCTTCATCCACTATTGAGTGCAGTTGCCCACATTTCTGTGTCAGCTGCTAAGTGCAGCTGCAGCTTCTGCTGTTTAGCAATAACTTGCCTACTTATTTCTAGGCCATGTGTGGTTTTGAGTTAAAATTTAAACTGAATTCTGTGGCATTGGCTTGGTCACCATAGGTAGCAGGAATAGTGATTGTAGAAAGTTCTATTATTTAAAAAGCCAGGAATTCTATTTGAATATTTAGTGAGGGGTAAGGCATGGCCCCCACCTAATCAAAATGGGTGCTGGTATCACCCTGTCCCCATGCACATCAGGTGGATGGCAGCCCAGGACACGGCTATGGATATTCTAGGATGCTGTCTTTGTGCCCGTCCCTTTAGTTCACTCTTTGTCACTACTTAGCACATGAAGATGAAAGAAGAAAGACAATGTGCCATTCAACATTATCCCTTCTAGAGGTGGATTCTGCAGCCCATTTCAGACACATCCTCACAGAGAGTCGTGGTGCATTTTCAGTAGCTCTTCCTACAGAGACCCAAAGCATTGAGTCTGCTGAACTCATAGGAACTGCTGAACTCATAGGATGATACCTGTCATTGAGATGTCACCTGCTATATACTAAGCTGTTTTCTGAAATAACTTACACATATCATTTCACAAAGAACCAGTATGAACATGTATAAGCCCATTCCCATTAACCAAGCACCCTTGGGGAAGATTCTGATGTTATGAATGGATAATTTAATTGCACATATGTTGATACTCTACATTTTTCTAGCAAACACTAGGACTTTACTTGCATTCCCCTGATTAAACAAAACCTGGAGATATAAAATATTCCCAGATGGAAAACTATTGTTTATTAGAAAATAATGACAAGTTATATTGTTTCATGTTATTGTGTCTCTATGTATAATGCCTTTTCCTAATATTCATTACAGGGAGACAGAGTTATTCTTCTTAAAAGAGTTGATCAAAATTGGTATGAAGGTAAAATCCCAGGAACCAACAGACAAGGCATCTTCCCAGTTTCCTACGTGGAGGTGGTCAAGAAGAACACAAGAGGTGCTGAGGACTACCCTGACCCTCCCATACCACACAGCTATTCTAGTGACAGAATTCACAGCCTAAGTTCAAACAAGGTAAGAAGATATTCTAACATATTAATGTAATATGGGGAGCTGAGGGTAAGATAATCGGTATGTGATTTTAGAATATTAGAGAGATTAGATTAGAATATTACATCTATTGCAAAGAAAGGTATTTACATATTATCTTTCTACATGTGTGAGTACTGTGTCAGTAAATATAACTTAAATTTTCTCAAACAGGTGCTGGCATAAAAATTTAATGCTTGATTTTGCCAATTTCATGTTCAAGTTAAAATATTGGTGGAGAAAGAGAAAACATTAGTATCATAAAAATGTATATGATATATACCTTATATCTAAATGTTTTCTAAAGCTTGATTTTATATATGTAAATTTTATTCATATAATATTATTATATATAAATAAATAGAATTATATATACATATGTGCATATAAAACTATAATTTATATGTACAAACATATATAAATACATACGATGTAAAATACTGTATATATTCCAAAATAATACCTCTCAAGAACACATGGTTATTAGATTGACAAAATTCAATAAAAGTCTCAGAGGTTTTTTAATATGGAAAGAGCGAAAGTGAAATTTTTTAAGTAAGGTCTATAAGTCGGTTGTTTATTAGTCTGAATGAAAATGTTATAGGTTATTGGAAGTCTTCAAATTTATTTCATTAGTTTTAGGACAGCTCTATTGTTTCATTTGAACTAGTAGCTGAAGATGATTACTTTTCTCAATATGTAATTTGAGAGTGACTTTGCTTCCTGAATTGGTCAATTAGGAAAGGCTACTCTACTTTCTATACTCACAGTGTGAATTTTTTCTCATTTTTCTGTTGAATTATATTCTTTTTTATGGGTGGTATTTAAGGGTTTTATTATCATTATCATTATTATTATTAACTTCAAAGTATGCAACTTGTAAGTTGCCAAGGAATTACTTCCAAAATATTGTAAGTACTTCCCAACATTTAAAAAACATATTCAGTTGTGCAAATTATTAATTGTTTTAATTGAGATCAAGGCTGAGACATGGAAAAATAAACCATCTAGAGCTAGTAAAATAAAATCAATATTTCAGACATCACTAAAGTATGAAGTCAGGCCATGTTACATCCAGTGCAAGACAAGACCGTCTCAAGATAGTGTCCCCAGGGATCTAAACTACTCCTTGAAAATGAGTCTTAAAAGGATTTTACATAAGTTAATGACTTAAGAATCTACTATCTTAAGAGGGGCATTTCTTTTAAAAGGGATAAGGCGAGGCATTTTATTTATTTTCATCCTCTTTTAAAGACCAGGTTTCAGTTGTGAGTTAATTACCCTCCATCCTGTATCATTGGATAAATGGAACAGTGTGTTACTATCCAATTTTGCTTGATTGATTATAAAGTTTTCCAGAATCTTCTTAAGTATATTTACTTCACCACCAGAGCTTAGTTAGCATTTAGAGATCAACATCCTCCGGTCAGTAGTTTATACTTATAAAAAGAAAAGAATCTTCATCCATATATTTGTCTTACCCACCATTCAATTATCTTAAAAGAACTACCAGAGAAATTTCAAAGCAACTGTACCTTCAAATAAAATGTTATAAGGAAGAAAAGCATGTATGTGCCAAGTATTATTTAAATACATTTAAGAAACTCTTCCGTATGCCCTAATTATCAATGGCAATGTACTATTTTAAAACACAATGTTTTCATCTTCGGTACATATACAGTTTAAATGTAATTAAATGTATCTTCAGTTTTTTCTTATAATACCAGATTTTAAATAGAGGAATGTACACATTTCACCAATAACTAATTAGTGTTTTGTTCTCACTACTGGGAAAGAAATATATTGAAAAACTTATGGTCATAATTTGAAAGAAATACTTAAGTGGTTTTATCCCAATTCATAATCCATGCTATGATGGCATTGGCTTAATGAAGGAAATTCCTCAGTAGTGTTGCATTAAATCTTTTTCAAAAAGATAACTATTATGTAGTTCTAAATGATGATACAGAAAATACACTAAATATTACATATCCTGTTTTCTGATTTTACAAATAGAGGAAAGAACTCATTAATGACTTGGGAATCACTCTTTGACACATTCAAATTACATTTCTTGACAGATTATTTTTATTTTAGGGGAGACTGAAATGTAAGTTGATGTTATTTCTGACATTTCTGCATTTAGTGCAATAGAATCTAATTCTAATGCTTTTGGAAGACAAGATGATTGTATGATTTTTGTATTATAGGTATATTTTATGATATATGGATACCAGGATACTTAATTTGACTTTCAGTATAAGTCAAAATAAGTATGAGTCATGGTAAAGCTAAGCACTTTCAATCTGCTGACAGGTATATTGGTGACTATGCTGGTAATGGCACTAGTGTTGTAGCAGCAGATAGCAACAGTGATGGTGTAGTAATAATGATAATAGAATTTAAAGCTCTTTCTTTCTAATCCACATAGTATTCCTCCCCATGAGAGAAAGTGAAAGTGTAAAGTAATGATCTTGAATTATTAGATAGTTCACAGACATTCAAAATAAAATCTATTGAAAACTTTTGTGCTGTATAGCAAGAGGCATAAAATAGAACTCTAGACAATAAAGGAACTTCTGTAGACTCTCAAATGAGACTTAGGTAGTTTATATCTTATTAAAAACTCAACATCTACAGAACTTAATGGGAGTGGCTATCCACCCAGCCCAAACCACATGTTCAGTCTGGCTTTGTATCAAGAGCTAAGCAGCCTTGAGTCCTGATCTTGTATTACGATGTTCGCATGAGTTTTGTGACACATTTGTGCCACTCCATGTGAGATGACTTAAAAAAAAGGCTAAATAAATTAAACGAATGCCCTATTCTTATTATAGGACACAGAAGTCAAAAGTTAAGTGGGGAATGCATCATGTCCTTATACATGCAAAGGCCCCAGAACCAAGAGTGCTGGCTCCATGAGTAAAGCATTGTCCTAAACAGTCAGCTAGAAAGTGCATCTCCAAAATCTTTTTGAAGATTTTTTTTCTTTCCAAACCAAAGTCATCTACCTAGAAAGAACTAAAGTGAAAGGTTGTCCACCAACCTTTCTCAAAGCCTTTATACCTATAACATGTAGCATTTTTTCCAGTCCAGCAAAGATAGATAAATGTATTAGAATGTTAGTAGGTGACACTTCTAGAACTACTTGTAATGAATTGCATAAAAATTCAGATTTACTGTTTTATTTAATATGCCAAAAATGTATGGATAATATTAAATACAGAAGTATACTTTTACTTGAGGAGATTAAGCATCACAAATTATAAGCTTTCAAGAGAGAATGGGAGTCTTAGCAGACGTTTACTCTTCCATTAGCATCACATGTGCCTTTTCTTTGTAAACATTTACTTTAGATTTTTTTTAAACCTTGAAACAGTAGTTATGTAAGTTCAGTTTCCATTCTGATCATGGCATTCTGTTCTTGAAAAATATTTTTCGTAACGTATTCACCTAGAAGTGTGTTAATGTATAATAGCCTAAAATATGTTATGCCCTATATTCTAGTCACCTTGCAAACATAAGCGAGAAAATTGTGAAAGCTGAAATGATTGGGCACTATTGCAGGAAGAAAGAATGCTAAACACATTGAAAATAAAAAAGACTTAACTGTTGGTTTTCATTCTACATTAACATTTATTCGGAGTCATTTATATTACTAAATCAATATCTGGAAGCCTACGGTATCTTTTTTTTTTTTTTTGAGACAGAGTCTCACTTTGTTGCCTAGGCTACAGTGAGTGCCATGGCGTCAGCCTAGCTCACAGCAACCTCAAACTCCTGGCTCAAGCAATCCTCCTGCCTCAGCCTCCCAAGTAGCTGGGACTACAGGCATGCGCCACCATGCCCAGCTAATTTTTTCTATATATATTAGTTGGCCAATTAATTTCTGTTCTATTTATAGTAGAGACGGGGGTCTCGCTCTTGCTCAGGCTGGTTTCGAACTCCTGACCTCGAGCAATCCGCCCGCCTCGGCCTCCCAGAGAGCTAGGATTACAGGCGTGAGCCACCGCGCCCGGCCGACGGTATCTTTTAAACATAGTTTCAAAGGTAAACTATTAAATCAAGTCTCTTAAGGTGTCCATCCTCATAATCTCTATGGCAGCTTTGTCGTGCTTGACATTGAAGACCCCTTCCAAACTAGTATTATAGTTTTATTTTTGAAATAACTGTTCTACTTAACATAAAGGATTTCGTGTGATTAAATTCCAGCAAAATATCTTCGAATCTAGAGGTCTTGAAAATATCTTCAAATCTGTGTCTGATAACATAAAATTACTTTTATTACGTTCACTACCACATCTTTCCTGCATTTCTCCAACTCTGTGTTTTGCTGCGTTATTATTATTTTTCTTGGTTTTTTTTTTTTTAACTTCATAATCACCGCTCACTTCTAAGTTGGCTTCCAGTGAACCAGCCCCTCCTCCCACACACCAAGTGTCACCTGGCTCGGGAACAGGCGCTCTCGAGGGACTTGCCCAGGGCTGGCTGTCCCTGACAGCCGCGCACCCACCAGCAAACCCTTTGGCCCCAACACCAACTTCTCTTTTCCTGGACAACTTCCTGGATGAACTGGAGAAGCTTAGTGCTTTAACCTTATTGGCTGACGAAGCCAAACCAAATATCCTAGAGGAGACTGTCCTCGAAATTAAGGAGGAGCCCTCTGTCCTCCTCCCGCTGCCACCAGCATCTGCACCTGCCGGCACTGCAAAGCCCCTTCAGGACCCCAGAAAGACAGCTCAAAACAGATGTGCAGATTTGAAAAAAATGCAAAGGAGCTTTGCAGACCCCAAAAAGATGCCTGAAGTGTTACGTGATAAGTTTGTGGCCTCCACATGCACCGGTGTGGGTTCTCTGCCCGTACCCCTCCCTGCCATTGGAGAGGAAGAGGAGGAAATCAGTGAGGGAGTTACGTCAGCCCTCCCGAGAGGGCAGCTAGAATCTCAAGAACCAGATGCCTTGTGGTGTGGCCACGATGGCACAGAGGCGACACCAAGCCTGCACATCGAAGAGGAAGAAGAGGAGGAGAAACCCGACCGCTTAAAATATCCAGTAGTCACCCCCACACATCCTAGAGTCCCTAAGGAGGACAGCAATGCAGCAAAAACCAGTAATGAGGTATTTTAACTTTGCCTAATTACTGAAGAACTAACCAGTCTTACGATGATTAGCTAGTACAATTAATCATATTAATAAGCATCTACTTTGACGCTGCTTTAACAGGTTTTCTTACCAAAACAAACAAGCATTGTATAAACCAGGGATGGAAGGGTATATGAAAACACATTATATTTCATTATTTCTTTATGAAATATCTATTATTTCTAAATATCCATTATTTCTTTATGAAATATCTAAATTCATATTTTAAGTCTTTATAATTTATATAGTCTTTCTAATTTTAAAATGTTAATAATGATAGCTATAGCCGAGCTCTTCCTGAGTGTCCACACCATTCTAAGAACTCTACATCTTTAATTTTCCAAACCCAGTGAAGTGTGTGATATTAATATCTCCACTGTAGAAATGATGAAGTTCACGCACAGAGATTAGTCCAATTCCAGGATGAGAACACTGTACACCGTACCTTTGATGCAATGGCACTTTGCAAAATAATAGTACTAATGAAGGGAGAAAACAAAAAAAAAAGAAAAATAGCCCTGCAGTCCCCTTGTGACGTTTCTGAAGAGGTCATTCTCTTCCAGTTGGTAACTGCTTAAGAACAGGGTCTTGCATCTTCATCTCACAAAGAACCTCGAACAATGGTTATAATCCACAAAAGGAGAAAATATGCTGAAACTTTTTCTTGTGAACTTCTCTCTTTAAAAAAAAAAAACTCTCAAATATGTGTCCTGAAAATTAAAAAGCCAGTGTATTTACTGGCAAATATTGAAATTATGAAATAATTGAATGGTTCACATTATGCCACTTGACAAGTCAGTTCTTCAGTCTATGCCACTTGACAAGTCCCACAGTTCTTCTATTTTAAAATAACCCAGCCAAGCCTGCATTTGTGTAAAACAAACACATTATTTAATAACAGAGATCATTCACTGCAGTAAGGCAAACAGGTCTCTAAGTCAGCTATTTCAATAACTAATTTTCCTTCAATCTAATCCCATTCAAAGACATTTCAGCTCTATGCCTGTCGTCCTTCAGTCCTACTAAAGTTCTCTTAAGTCACATCAAATACCAGACAGTATATGGCCATATCTTATCTGCTATTGGAAAGAAAATACAACATACTCACACACAAGAAAGTGAGCTTATTCACTGTCGTGTTAAACATCTTACTTTGAAAGAACACAAAACAATCAAGCCTGTAGTTAGGGCAATATTCAGTATTTAGTTATATTTCACCACTTTCCCCCCAAAGCCTTATTTTCTTCTTATGTGTTTCGTTAGAAAATTTTGCTTCCAACAAATGTTTGACACTTTCCCTAAAACTTGATAGATATTAAGCCCAATTTCCCCCTCCTGCACTTTGCATCTCTTCAATAGGCACAAAGAAACAGGTAGGGTCTAAAGGTGCCTAGAACCCAGTTGTTAAGCATTCTGTGATAAGGGTGTGTTCTTAGGTGTGTTCTTAGCCATCTCTATTGCATTCCAGCTTCTCTTCTATGCTAACTTCCCTCTACAAATCTTTCTCTGCTATGCCTGTGAGTCCCCTATGAACCTACCAACTGGTGCCTGCTGTGTGCAAACTGTACGAGCAGCCAGAGGAGCTGTGTGCAGACTTAACCCTTCCCGTCCGCTATGAGTCGGAGTTTGGCATGCTGCGTGTGCATGGAAAAATCAAAACGGGAAAACTCTTCCTGAAGGCTGTGCAATGAAGATGAGAACTAATGAACCTCTTATGCCTTTTCCAGGCTGACTTAAAAAGCGAGATATTTGTCCTGGGTAAGCCTCCTCGTAGCCCAGTGATGCCTAGGAGGTCCTGCGGCTCGCCTGTCAGAGGGCTCAGCGGTTCCCACAGGGTAGGGTCGGCACTCCCCGGCCTTGTGGCGCGCATCCTGGCCAACCCCTCCCACCCCCTGTTCGGTGGACTGCCTCTTTCTTAGTTGTCTTTGCTGTGAACTGGCCATAAGTAGGGCTGGAGGTACCCTTGAGGCGAAGTGACCATCATTTCATGACGAGCCATGAAATCAGAACTCGAAACCCCTATCCTAAGTCTTTGGGTAATGTGCTTCCCTTTTATGTGTGCGTGAGGTGTCCAAAATCCAAGAAGACATGATCAGATTCTCCACTATACAAATAAGAGGGTAGTGTGTGTTGTTTTCTACATCTGTCTCCTGTTTCTATGCTAACTCACTGCTTTCTGGTCACTGTTTTTAGTGCAGAGAGCAAGACCATTGCCAATCATATATAGTACTGAACTCACACACTTCCAGTAATGTTGGATTCTGTGTCACTCAGTTTATTTGGATTTTTTTTTTTTTTTTTGAGACAGGTTCTTGCTCTGTCACCCAGGCTGGAGTGCAGTGGCATGATCGTAGCTCACTGGAGCTCAAACTCCTGGGCTCGAGCGATCCTCCTGCCTCAGCCTGCCTAGCAGCTAGAACTACAGGTGTCATGCACCACAATACCTGGCTATTTTTTTTTTTTTTTAGAGACAAGGTCTTGCTATCTTGCTATGTTGCCCAGGCTAGTTTCAAACTCCTGGCCTCAAGCAATCCTCCCATCTTGGCCTCCCAAAGTGCTGAGGTTACAGGAATGAGCCACAGTGCTGGGCCTATTTTTAATCCATAATCCTTGTTTAAAAGTCTTTTGCTGCTCTGGTGATACGCTCTGGTTCACTCAATTCCGCTTTTGTCCCCACACTGCTTTCTGGACTCTACATACTCCCAATTTTTGGACGGCTTTCATTAAACTTAAAGGTCAAATTATTTTCCCTTGAACCACCCAACTCCAAATATCCACAGCACTTTAAAATCAGTGGACTCTAAATGGTACCGTTGATTCTGATGAATACTGCCAAGAAGTTTGGAAGTTTTCATCTGTGCATGTAAGTCAGGATTCCTGTCACCATTTCTGTTTTCATGGACCCTGGTTTAACCTCAGCTGATCTATCACACACCTGTGGTTCTTCATTGCAAGTTCTCAAGGGCTTGATTTAAAGGACATTTTCCTTTTCCATTTTTTAAAATGTAGTACTGCTCTGTGTTTAGGCCGTTTGTGTGTTTTTCGCTTTGCACAGTAAGACCTCATTTTGTTGCTGAGGCAGAGATTCCTGTCACCATAGAAAGAGAGGAACGTCAGTTTACAGAGAGTCTTAGACTCCACCGAACTGCCTTCCAGAGTCAAAACAGAAAGAAAGCTTTTTCTGCAATTAATAGGGCCCATCCATGAATTTTGCTTAAGTCACTAAGATGGTATGCTTCGGGTCACTGTAAGTTTTTTCTTGGCCAGATTTTACATTATGTATTTGTATCTTAAACTACATGTGTTTGTGGTGTGAACCATAAATATTCCATTTTCTTTAAATTTATGCAAAGTTGTGTTATACCTTCATGATTTAAGAAGAAAAAATAATCCTATAACATAAGCATGTTATTGTTATTAGGAGAATTTCATCTAATTCTGGGTGAAAAGTACTAAAACTAGCATTTTATGAAAAAAATGATTTAAGAACTTTAGAACTGCTTATAATGCTTTCAAAGATTTTTCCTAATTACTGTTTAAAGTAACAGCCAATCCTCATGTGAGAATTACCTAATACTAGATATAGCTAATCCTCCAGAGATACCTCTGCAGACACATAGACAGATGGCTTTCAGACAGACTGTATCTCACTATGTGAGATGGGAAAGCATATATTTCACTTACGTCAGAGATTCTAGATTATTTCAAACCGGCTTCCTTAATAACAGTGGCTTGTGATTGGTTCTGACTTTTGAAATTAGCATGTGTTTAAAACCTCTTTTAGGTCAATTTTCAACAACATTAAAAAATAGCCACACTAAAACAGAAAGAAATGATTGCCACATTTCCAAGAAAAAGTTAGATATTTAGGATAGCATGATAACAGCAGGATATTTCATTGGGTTTTCTCATTTTTATTGTACTCTTAAGACTCATCAAGGAAATATAAGCATATTGTGATTCTCGTTCGGCATTTCCAGCACAGTGATTGTAATGTGTTACCTTGAAAACCATATTCCTAAGATCACAGTTCATGTAAGCCTCTCTGAATGTCACAAATGTATTTTGCTCTATATTTATCTTAAAACTGCTAAGACGTTATGAGTAATAGAAATGCCTGAGCAGATAGTTAAAATAGAAAGGAACGCAGACCAACAAATACTGGTGGCTTACAGGTGATTCCATCTCAAGGATTTAAAACGTGGGAAGGGAATAATGTGGTCAGAAAAACAGGTGAATATCTATTCCTCATCACTCTGTGGTCTTTAAAACGTTCTTCCAAAATTAATCAGGCTGAAGGAACTTGGAGCTCACCGCAAACAAAAACAACTCTTAGCTTGTTGCTGCCACAGATCACCAGTAGGTGGCAACAGAGTGCAGATACGCTACAAGTCTGCTTCAGGTGCGCGCGCATTGAGTGACAAGGCCAGCAGGCATGGCAAAAGCTCGTCTTCTGAGATAAGTTGCTTAAATACCCATACAGAACATACACACTACCTGAGGGACAAAATGAGATGCTGATTTGATCCAGTTAGGCCATATAATCACCATAGTAATCTCTCACACAATAAAAAGTGTGAGTCAAAATTATTACTCTGTTTCTTTTTTTTCGTATTCATCATATTAAGAAATTATCCAATATCTTTGATTTTTGGCTTACTAATTTACAAAATGAAGTCGAATTATTCCATTATGGTTTTTACATGACTGATACGCGTGAGAATTAACTGACCAGCGTCAGTTGTCACAGCTCTCTGACAACTGCATGTGTAAGGCTGGTTATGGGGACCTTTTGCATGTCCGAGGAAATATCTTGGACATGTGATTCCTTCATGGGAACGCTGGGAGGGTCAGGTTGTCATCTTGTCCAACCCATTGATTTTGGAGACAGGGAAGCTGAGGTGCAGCCCCAAGATTATATTGTAATCAATGCCAAAAACAGAAAGACACAAATATGCCCTCATAAATAATTATTAATGCTATTTATTCCTCTATTGTTCAAATACTTTTAAAAATAAATTAATTCAAATACAGCAATTGGTCAACTTTTCTTAAAACTTGATCCTAGTTATCCACATTGACAACGAGGTAACTGCTATTGAAGACAAGGTTAGAAAAGTTCTAAGACTCACCATTATGAGAGATACACAACTTCTCTGCTAATAAAAGCTGTGATCAATTCTGGCCTGAGGATGTGAACAGTATAGAAAATGGATGATTGAGGGGAAAAAGAGGAGCAGAGTTTAAAGGATATTGAGAGAAGGAAAAAGACATATTGGGAACAACAAGTAAAAGCAAGGACATTGCTAGCTGCCACACCCAGGAACACAAGACCTGTACAATTCAGGGAGCCACAGGCTTGTAGCAATAGCCCAATTTGCATAATTTTCAAGAGGACAGTTCATTTGCATAATTTATGAGGTAGGATGAATTAAAGGAATTAAACCCGTAAAATTATAATGCTGATAACTGAAAGAATATATATATATAGACTTTGAATGTAGATTGTTTTATATTAATGAACAATTTGATTTTTAAAGTAGTATTCACATTTTAACATAAGGGAGCAATGAAATGAGACCAACCAGTTTAACCAAGCACTAGCTGCCATGGTACAGAAGTTAAAACTTTTACTTAAATTAAAAATATTAGAATGGTTTAAATGTGTGGAAATAGGCACACCATTTTTAGAGCATAATAAAATATATTTTATGAAAAATTTTCTCTTACAACAAGAACAAACCATATTTTCTTATTTATAACTGTTATACATTGCAAATGGTGCTGTGATTGTTTTTGTGAGAGAACAGTAGCTATCTTGGTATACAATATGAAATATGGCATATTAAACATTTTTTAAGTTTACTTTTGTGTACACAGTATTTTTTAATGGCTAACATGAGCAATTTCAAAATCATGTGGCTTTAATGCATATTCTTGGGCCAGAAATTCTACTCTTGGGAATGTATTTTAAGGAATAGTTTAAAAGAAGAAAATAGCTCTTTGTATAAAAGTGTTTATATCATTGTTCTTTATGACAGTAAAAAAAAACCAAGACAAGTCTTAACTTCAAAAAAGAGAGAGAACTTGTTAATAAAACTATGATATATGGACACATATATGAGGGAACATTATTTTTCAGAAATTTAAAATGAAAAAGAAGACTGAGAAAAGACTGGGAAATTATTACAAAATAGTATAAATGGCAATTAATAGACATAAATCTTACTTCTGCAAAAAGTTTTATACACGTATAAACTTTTGTTGGATTGGAGGAGAACTGAAGAAACGTAATAGGATATAGGCTTATGAATAATTTATACTTTTATATATTTAAATTGATTTAATAATATCTTGAATTAAATGACCTTTAAAATGACTGGGAAATTATTTAGTCTTAATCATTCTTAAAATAATATACATTTTATATTTAAATATATATTTAATATGTATATTTTATAATTTGAATAGTAGATATGTTGTTAGTAGTTTTATATTGATTTATGGAAGTAAACTATTTTAAGTCACACATGTCCAGTAATTCTTACCCACTTTTTAGTTCTAAGTATTCTATGCACAGACTATTGAATGAAATTTCTAAGAATATTGTTAGTAAACACCTCCGATTAATAGATTCAAAGCTTAAAGTTTTAGTAATGTGAGTGCCTAGTCTTATACTAGATAGACAGCGTGGATAGAAAGGGGGTGGGTAAAGAATTCAGGAAGGAAGCAGATCATAAACTCATAGACTTAAAAGAAACCCAGAGTCCCCATCCAAGCTGGCGCCAGTGTGGTTTCTATGAACAATTTGCAAGAAAAAAAATTTCCAGCCTGTCAGTAATCCACACGTAACTATGCAAATCCAAGAACCAGTTCTGATGTCTAAAGACATGGATCTAATAACTAATTCAGTCATCTCCAAAAAGTCACTCATATAATTGCCATACAAATTCTGATTTTGTTATTTAACCATGTGGCTATCACTTAGAAGACAGAATGCTTTTAAAATGTATTGTGAATGAATTATATGCATTTTCCCCTAAAAGATACCATGTAGGAAGTCAATATAAATTACACTGAGTATATGTATTCAACAAACATGCTAACTTTCATTCATTGAAATTTTAATGTGGATATGTGGGATGCTAAGGCTTGTCATTTCCAATATTATAAGTATCTATTACAGATACTGGTCTTGATGCTTAGTTTAAAAAGAAAGGAAACTCTTTTGAGAGTTCAGTGCACTGGGAATTTCTACCAATATTTCTCTTCTAAGGTAAAATGTTACATGTTACCTGCATATTGTTTGTTGCATTCTAAAAGTTCTCTGTTTTCTCTTTTTAAAAATGCATGTGTTTTCCCCACATTGAGAACAGAGAATGTTAATTCAAATGTAGCATGGGATGTCTGCCTATTGATATTTCCACGTGTACTGTATGTGAAAATGTCGTCTGTGAAGGAAAAGTTTAAAGAATGAATGTGGATACTTTGCTGTTAAACTAAGTGTGGTTTATTTTCTGCTTGTTTGAGAAAGCGCTGGAGAATAAGGCTGTATGAAGGTGTCTATACCCCCTATTCTAGTGGTTGCTGTCCATGTTCTTGCCGTATTCCTGGCCTTTGAAAAATCAATGGGACAAAAGCCCAACTTTTCTTTAAAGCTTGAGCAGACTAGATTGTAGATGTGTTCAAAACATTTGAACCTTGGTTATCGTGATTTACTCTAAAGAACCCTTCAAAATATTTTAATTATGAATCCCGCAGAAAACCCTTTATTTGGTTTTTTCCTTCCTCTTGGTTTTTTACAACAGGAAATATTAAATGTCAAGAAAAGTACCATGCCATTATCCAAATTATCTTTTAATTAGTACCAGTTTAAACATTGATTACATTGGAAATCATTTCATTTCAGCCACAGCGTCCTGTGTTTACTCATGAAAACATTCAAGGTGGGGGGGAACCGTAAGTATTCTTCTTATCTTCTAAATTCAAGACTAACCTTGACCCACAAAATGGAAAACTGACGTACCGAAATGTGAGATGGTACAGCCTGGCAAGTAAAAGAGATCAAAGTCACTAACATGAGACCTCCTAAATTAAGAGAAATGACAATAGTCCCCATCTTTTATGACAGGATCAGAAACCAATTTTAAAAAGAAACCCATGGTTTTACAAGAAGGTTTTAATTTATGCACTAGGAAAACCTTCCTATGCTGCAGTGATTCCTAAGATTTACGCCTGACTCCTCTGCTCTGCCAGCCATATAACTAGTAACTACAGATTTAAAGACACACAGAAATATTCTAACATTGTTTTTATACCTATTTGGAGGCTGTACAAGTAGGCCTAAATGTAAAAACAGACTTAAAGTGATATTAATAACGTAATTCCAAAGTGGCATGCTTAGAAGGACCTTTTGAAAATGATAGTATTAAAACACTCACTGTCACTCAGTTGCATGCAATTCCTTCCACAGCACCAGGACAATGCCTTTTCAAACTTTCTTTTCAAATTCTCTCTCCTTTCTGATAGACAAGTTAAATCAACCTGAAGGTGCACACACTGTCTTTAAGATTCTCTTTTTGTGTGTGTCTTTTTCGGCCCCATTTTACCCATGAAAGATGTTCAGGGGTTGTGCATTTCTACTGGCTACTGCCTGTCCTGTCAGTCAGGAGCTAGACCCCTGAGAAGGTGCACTCATGGACCCACACCATGCTAGGCGTGCCCGAGCACACACAGGGAGTCCCGGCCCACTGCCACACTCTGCTCACCTGGACTCTTCCTCGTGGCAGGTCCTGGTGAGTGGCCGGGTCCCTCCTCAGTCCTCACAGGCCTGAAACGTAGCGACTCTCACTGAGCAGAGTGAAGTCAGAAAGGTGTTCTTGTTAAGGGAAAGTCTCTATAGTAGAAAGAACAGGTTAGAAGTGATAATGATTTAAAATGTCACTTAATTGGAAAACTTTAAATACGACTTGTAATTCTAAAGTCTTTGTTCTCTTATAAACACAAATGATGATAGGATCACATCACAAAAGAATAAATTCCAGGGCTATTCAGGTTTATTGCATTACCAACACCTTATATTAAACAGCTCTGAAGGAGTTTACGAATGAAAGCGTGTGTTCTATTACACAGTTTTGTGTGATGTGGAGTTAATACATCCAGCCGTGGTCATTTGGTTGTTAAGAAACCACAGAGGCCGCAGGTGGGAGGAAGACACATTTTCAAATTCCTGCTTTGGACATTACAAAACATTCCCTGTTAAGTTTCTATTTGATTACAGCCTGACTTAGTGGCATTACAGAGTGTTGCTTGATCTTTCATTTAAAAAAATATAATTGATTTTGAGCGAAAGTAGGAACATAATGTTATGTCACTGCAATTCAGAGTTCTGTTGGAATCAGTTCCAGAAAAAGGTGCAAGTTATATAGAGGGTTTCCAGTTTGGCTTCGTATTTCCTACTCGAAAGACAGATTTCTTTTTGAGGCATCCTGATCCCACCACCATCATTCATCTCACCACCACATCTTTCAAAACAGCATTTTTAATTGCAATTCGACTACATTTCCTGTCGTGCAACACTGATTTTGAAAGCCAGCAGAGGTAGGAGGATTTCCGGAGGGTTTATGTTTCCATAAAACTCCTTTTTGGTTTTTGTTCGTTTTTTTCTGTTTTGTTTTGTGTTTTGTTTTTTTGGTGGTCTAATTAAATCAGAATGGTAAGTAAATTTTGACAAACATGCTGTCTTTCGTCATACAAAAGTGCAGTGTGAGTTCGTGCCAACTTTGGTTTCTCAATTCTTGGGACCTTCAGATTCTTCAAGCAGCTGGGGTTTGTGGTCTTAAGGAGGCCCTGTCCCCACAAGTGGCTGGAGAGGTGCCCAGGAGAAGGGTGATTGATGGCTGAAGCCTGAGAAACTCAATCAGAGAATCAGCTGTCCCACAGTGAGAGGTGCTGTGGATATCCATGGAAATAGCAGCCCAGGAATGGCGAGCTTTCTCAAAGGTGAAATTGGAAGAGGGACCATGTAGGAAGTTGTATCCCAACTTTCCCCCAGGATATACACAAATATCATCCCTTCACCCAGGAAGCTCCACAACCAAGTCCTTAACACAAACCACAGGATAATTTGCCTACTCCTCTTAAGGCTGGTCCCATGTGAACATCCCATCAGGTAATGTTCGTGTGCAGCACCTCCCTGTCTCTTTCCCCACCACTGTGGGACTCCGGCACCCTTCTCCACCGTCCCCACGACCAGAATCCTCTCTCTCTACAAAAGCCCTCAGAAAGCCCATTCTCAAAAGAAGATATGTGGCTAAAAAGGCTTACTAGAAGGACAAAGTATTAACAGGGAAGAATCTCTGCTGTGGGAGATCTCTACTGTGGGAATTTCAGGCTTTGGCACAGACCAAGGAAGACAATGTTTTCTAAGGAAGGATGTTGGGCACCCCATCTTATTAACATAGTTCCAGACTCCCCCAAAGTCAACTTTATCCAAGTCCATTAATCTCAAAAAGTTCACAGAGAGGGAAGCCAGTGGATCAGTGTTTCTTATTTATGACATGATATATGAGTACAAGTGATGGAAGGGTTTTATTCCACCAAAATATGATATTATGACTCAATAAAGTAATTAGAAATAAATCAGTCTTGTTCCAGAGCAGCATTTAATATTATCAACTTTTTAAAGTTGACATAAGAAAAATCTAAAGCTCCCTAGAATGTGGTTCTTATTTTCTTACATTAGCAGAATCACATAACTATTATGAAAAGGAGAAACAAATTCACCCATTTTTTTAAATCCCCTCTCATAGTTATTTCAGTCATATAATGAAGAAGTTTTCATGTTAAGTGTATGTCAAATTCTTCCTGACCTTCTCAGCTGCTGTAATTTCTGTTTTCACTTTCCTAAATGCCAGTCTATTCATTCAAGTATATGCTATTCCATTACAACAGCTCCAATGTCTGAATTCATTACTGATCAGTGTCACCATAATAAATGCTCTCAGAGAATTCGGGCAGGGAGAGTAAAGTGGTAGCATTCTATCAGTAATTAATTCTTCTTTACATAAAATTATTTCAAGAAAGAGTTTTAAAATCAAAGACATTTCCCTAGGACCCATTTTAAAAAGGAACTTTTGTCCATAATCTACGTTTGAGATTGACTCAATGTGTGTTGATAACTGTGTGTAGAATTCATCCACTCAACAATTTCATAGGTGAATTGCATCAAATTTTTTCAAATTCTAAATCCTCAGGAAACACTGATTCACACAGCTTTAAAGAATTCATCTTGGTGAAAAAAATAATCTTCTCTTTTATTGTGATTCCTATATAGTGATGTAGAAAACACATGTCTGAGATGTTGTATATCTCAATTTAAATCCATTTGAAATTTCAATTTTCGAGGCTCAATTATTTGCTTCGGATGATGGCTAGCTAAAACTGTGATTCTGTCTTGTTTTTATATAACTGAATAATGCAAGTATCAGTTATTTTATGTTTGTGTACTATCATGTAATGTCTGGATGATGGACATTATATTGGACAATTACAATGCAGGTCTGACTTATAAATGCTAACTGATTCATGAATGTTACAAGTTTTCATGAATATTCCTCACTGTGAGTTTCAAAATGTTATCGCAGTGGTCTAATTCCTGTGAAAGTCTAAATATTGCTTATTTATTTTTCATGCTTACCAGACTTTCACTACCCAATATCATAAATTGATAAAAATAGAAACGTTAAGGGTGAAATGAATATTGTGCTTTCTTCTACAGTTTCACAAAGATGTAAAGATTTTTTTAAAACACGCTCGTTTGTCCCGTTTAAGGTTTCAGGCTCTGTATAACTATACTCCTAGGAACGAAGATGAGCTGGAGCTCCGAGAAAGTGACGTCATAGACGTGATGGAAAAGTGCGATGATGGGTGGTTTGTGGGTATGTGTACATCTTTTCAGACACATTCCGCTGCTTTCTAATTTGCTGAGTTTGTTCACTTGCATGGTTTGCTGTAATAGTCAAGCTTTCTTTTGAATTCATAAGGCCTTTGATCTTTCATACACCCATATGCACAATGCAATCCAAAGGCGACTGCATTTTTTATATAGTTTAGTATGTACTTCTTTGGGCATATGTGATTTTCTGCTAGTTTTATTTCCAACTCAATGGAGAGAAGAAAATTTCTTTAAATAGCACAACCAGAAAAGACTGAGATCTGAGAACAGCAATAAGAAAATCGTCCCCAGATGAAAAATATTGATGGAATATCCATGGAAAATGTTAGTTATCAGCAGTGAGGATCTAATTTGGGAGGGAGCGAGATTACGTGAAAAACTCACTCGTTTACTAGGTCTGATGTAGGTGCCTTAAAAGCCCAATGACTCACCTTGGCTTTAACTTGTGATAGAAGTGGAGAGACGTTTCATTCTTCCCACTTACAAGGAAATCCCATTGTTACCATCTTAAAAGAAGACGAGATTTTCTGAGAAAACATTTGTAGACAAAAGTTATCGCATACTGGGACACAGAGGAAAGACGTAAAAGAAAAACAATACAGGCACAGGAGGATGCAGGGGAGCAAGAGATGAGGAAATGTGGTCTTTCCCCACACACATCCATTAGTGGCGAAATAATGAAAGAACCGAGGCCACGAGCAGACACAAGCCCCTGGTTCTACTTTCTTGAATTCCCATCTAGCAGCAAAGTAAGATGACTTGCCCACCCAGGGAGCAAGGGGAACAGTCAGCAAACCAAGACAGTAAGTTTCAGAATATAAAGGAGAGGGGAAACTTTAGAGACCCTCTTCACTTTATTTGTGCTGGAAATCCTAAAGAAGAATTCAGTGCACCTACTTGGACAAAAAGTTTCCAAGGGATAACATTATCTGCAACAAAAGAGAATTATAAGGATGGTCATTTGTGCATTGGGTTTAACACAACACGTTAGAAATCCTGCCCAGTGAGAGAACCCCACCTGCAAATAGTAGTCAAGCTTCCTTTTTTTTTTTTTGTTAGTGGTTTTGTGAATTGTTCACAATTTCTCTATTTTATGAGGGGCTCTGGCCTCATAAAATAGTGCTATTTTTTTCCACTTACAGAATTAGGAAAGCCCAGTGCTATTTTTAAATGAGTGATGTAGCACTGAGCGTGATCTTCTATGAGATAATAAAACTCTTTTGACAGTGACAATGTCCCTGATAATGCCTTAATGTCACGCCTGTGTCAAGGGAGCCCCTGGCCCCTGGGAGGCCCTTGCCTTAGGATTTTCCACTCTTCCTGTCACCCTGCCAGCCTCCCACCTTGCCACCTTGTTCCTCATTCGCTCTCCTGTTCAGCAGCTAGGGGCTGAGTTCTACCACCCACCTCCTCCGAGGACCCTCCTTCTCCTTAGTTTGCGAGGCTGAGGCCGAGTGTGGTTTAGCGGGACGTGAGGGGAGCACATCACTTAGGCAGCAAACACTGCTTCCTCTGTCTTCCCGATGCGAGTTGTCTTCCTTCTGCTCCCAAACCCCTCGGGGGTTGCTCTCTTAACGAAGCCTTGTAAATGGGAAATGATCAAGCCCCCCTATATGAACTGATCCTTCGTCCTTGTTACCCCCCTTTCATTTATTGCTTCTATTTTTCAGGAACCTCAAGAAGAACCAAATTCTTTGGTACTTTTCCCGGAAACTATGTCAAGAGGCTGTGAATCACTCTCCCTCCTTGTTTATGCTGCATTTCAGCAACGCATCTTCATACGCTCGCCTGACACATGCCGAAGGCCTCCCGTTGTCATGCCTTATGGTTTCCAACACACCGTCACCATCGTCACCTGCCACCAAACCACCAGCAGAGTACCCGCCGCCGCAGGCCTGGGGGAGACACGCACGTTGATCGGCCTCCACGTGAAAGCGCGCAGGGCTGCTCTCTGCTCCAGACTTTGAAAAGTCAAAATGTGGGATCAGAAAAAAAAAAAAAATCACTATACTTAGATTAAAATATTTAAGGATTTGAAGCAAAACAACAACAAAAGAGGCTCTCCAATCTCATGATCATATTTCACCATCTCTGGAAGATGTTCTCCCCTCAGGCAACCAGAAGATTGCGTATAAAGAAATGCTGTGGTTTGCATTTTCACATTCTTAGCTTGGCAGTGTATTTTCCTTTCACAAGTTTGCCTAGTGTCCTGGTTTACACGATATGACAACTGTACTTCAGCTATTGTTTGCCTGCACTTATATGTTGTAATATGCACAGTGATTACAACCTCTAAAGCAAGAGTAGGAAAATTCATTTGGATGAGTGTGATTTTGTTGATTGAATGTGAGTTTTCAAATAGAAGTCTTTTCCTGCAATTTTTTTTGTACTTTTTAGAACTGCAAACAGTCAGTGAATAAAAAGCCTTTGGTAATAATCATGAGCATACAAGAGGTTCAGCTAGACTACAGGGGGGAAAAAAAGCTATTGTGTTGTAAAGTTGCATTGCCATTTTATATTAAAATGTAATAATTAGCATCATGAACAATGAACTCTTAGTGTTTTATTTATCTGATAAAATTTAAGTAAAAGCAGTGTTAGTGAGAGGTGCAAAGAATTATTCTAACATAGACACTTGAAAGTATCAGTAAGCAATACTAGTAGGTAAGATTTCACTGTGTGTACACATACACATTTGAGATTGTATGAAAACATATAATCCATACAATATGTTGTACATTTTATGGAAATGTAAAAGAGTCCTGCACATTATTTTATAGAAATAGAGTACAGAAACATCACAGGTATTAAGGTTGGCTTTAGCAAGGATTATGATCAATACAATTATTTTTACTATGATAATTATTTTTCTTCTATGGAACTCAGAATCCTGGCTACATTTGAAGACAGGAATATGTTGAGCCTGATTTTCCTGGTGTGTGTAAAATATTTCCTAGGAATAAATTAGGCACTTTTTAGAGACAATGTTAAATCATTCAGGTTATATTTTCTGCCCTGAAGCAGAAATTTGCAAAATGATATTGAGATCTGAAAGATTTAGTATGGTAAACAGTGCCTGAATTACACATACTCCGAGAACTAGCTTTGTATTTCTTATGACTTTGCATAAGAACTATTCATCTTTGGATCTTGAGCACCTTATAGACAAAACTTTTTATGGCATTTCTTCCGTGGACAGTGATTGATCTTTTCACAATGTACGTAGAGGTAGAATTTTGTACATATGTTTTCTCCTTTTTTGTACAGACTATTCAGTTGTTGAGAAAACAGGGGAATTTCCTAATTTGGTCTTTATCCTGCACTTAAACTAAGCTCAAAAACACTTTCGGCAGATTATCCTTTGCGTATCTCACAGATCACAAGCACCTCTTGACGGTGCGATTCTGTCAGATAGCATTTATGCAAAAGTTTATGAATTTAAGAGATCTTAGAAGCCAAACTGAAATGTACATACATACTGATTACAGAGGAATTTCATTAGGAAGAAGGTAAAGAAACATCTTTGAGTAGCCTGCCTTGATCACTGTCAAGTTCACAACCAGCTTTGTATTTTAAAGGCTTTGGGTTTGAAATTAAGTCAACTGCATGCAGCTTTGCCGATATATGAATAATTCTCTCTGATGCCATTTATGAGAAAAGACTTCAATATCTGTTGCCTGTCATATTTAAGAAAAATTACTGTTTCTACTCTCTGTATCTGATTTTAAAAGGAAAAATATTCATACCTGGCTTTCAGGTGATTGACTTTGAATCCTTACAAGCAAAGGTCATTGTGTTTTTCTTGAATAGACATCTAATAAATTTTGCTTGGAAGTATACTTCAGTTTTTCTTCTTGACATTCATCTGTACACAAGCCGTGTATTTCATTCCAATTTGTTAGTTAAACTAAGAGAAAATGCATTTGCTCTGTGTTCTGTTAACAGATAAATGGAGAAAAAAAATGTATCAGCATCAACTTAAGAGGAGAAATATTTTTAAACCCACCATCAAAGCTTATTTGCTAAACACTGTCTGGCTAAACATTGCTCCTCAGCTAAAATAATACATTTTTAAATATTTCTGCCTCAAAAAACATCTATTTTTCCAAGGAGGAGTTAATTAAAAGAAGTCTTAAGCACGTCCCCAATTCAACTATGTTAAATTTTCAAATCTCTGCCCTGGTCAGCGGCAGCACCGTTGGCATGGCAGCCTCCATGCATGCCCACGAGCAGGGAAGTTCAGACTTCAGGCAATTTCAGATAACGGTTACAGTGGGGCCCCCTTTCTGTCACACAATGGAAAGAGCAAGGATGTCTATTTGGATCCTTTCTCATATCCCAGTCCCTTCTAGCTCTGCGTTTCAACCCTTTTCTACACCTGTCCCTCAAATCCTCTCTGGTCCCCTCTGTTCCATTGGATCGTTTCTACTCCATAAGCGTTCCACTAAAATGCGTTCCGTTTGTGAGAAGAATATACCCCATAATATTCTTTTGGTCCTGTTTTCATCCAAGCTCTTAAGGGTAACACAACTAGATCAATCTGAATCTGGGCATCCAGCGCGGGGGTAGAGCAAACGGAAGGGACACTTTGATACTAAGGTGCCAAACTTCAATACCTCCGTTAGCCTCACCAGCAGTCCCCAACGTTTTTGGCACCAGGAACCGTTTCCATGGAAGACAATTTTTCCACAGACTGGGAAGCAAGGGCGGGCAGGGAAGGATGTTTTAGGATGATTCAAATGCATTATATCTATTACACTTTATTTCTATTATTGTTACATTATAATATATATAATGAAATAATTACACAGCTCGCCATAGGTTGGAGACCCTTGAGCTACACCATCACTAAAAACAAACATGTCCATTTCTTACTTGATCAAAAGCAGAAAGAACCTGTTTGAGTGACTGTTTCCGTAATCACTCACTGTTTGATCTCCCTTCGTAGGTGGTCAGTTTATGTGGCCTGATAGTTTCTTCCTTCTGTTTTCCAAATTTCAGCCACCAATGGAGATATTCTTTAAAGAATCATTTGATCAAGTAAGACTAAGCACTCTGTCAGGTTCCAAGTGCCTGTTTATTTAAAGATTAACTTATTTCCTCCCCCTCTCCAGACTGCAGCTCTCTAACGGTTGTTTCTGTATTGGTTAGGATTTCAAATTATTTACTCATTGTCAATGGTTAGAGTCAGAGCACAAGCAGCGATTGGCACTATTAATACACAAACCGCAGCAGGGACTGGCAACCTGTGACCTGTGGACCTGCAAGGTAAGAATGGTTTGTGTAGATGAACATTGGCGATCAGTTTGATGATAAGGAACACTAACTTTGAACCCCAATTAAGTGAAATATTATCTCCCTAGAAAAAGAATTTCTTTCTTTTCATTAGTAAATTTTCATTTTAAAAACTATATTATTATGGTTATAGTCTTAATACGTAAAAATTGGTGGAAATGTGTTTTCTCTTTGTTATGTAAATATATACATCATAACCTTAATTTTGCCTCCTGGCCCACAAAACCTAAAATATTTACTATCTGGGCCTTTACAGAAAAAATTTGTGACCCCTTGGGCTATGCTAATTGTCAGCAACAAACCTGCAAACTGACCAGAGGGAAAAGAACAGTGAACATCTGTATATACCAGGTTGTTACTTACATGTGTCTTTATCCTCAGAACAAATCTAAGAGGAAATCTGCTTTGTGCCCATTTTATAGACAAGGAAGCTGAGACTCTGAAAGATTAAATAATTTATCCATATGTATAAGATATTATACATAGTACATGGTGGAAATAGGATTTAGAATCTGGTTTTCCTATCTTCCAAGCCTATAATCTTTCTTCTAGACCACCCAAGCTTGGTGCTAAACACACTGCTGATGAAACTGTGTACTCAGAGTTAAACAGCTGCATCCAAACACCTCTCTCCCTCTCCACCATTCTCACAAACACAGCCACCCCTCGTTACAGAATCTTACTGCACGTAGGGTGACAAGAAAGAGGTATATGCCCACTTCAGCACAATAATGTTTCCCTGGGGAAAGCTAATTCTGGTTCCTAAAAGTGCACAGTGACCAGTGAGAAAACAACTCAATTATTGATATGTTTTAGCTGAGCATGAGCCTATCCAAGAGCTGTGATTCACCAAGACACGAGAGGCTGCTGCCAGCGCGGCAGCTGGTGGTGCTCCGGGGAAGTGCTTGGCGCTTGGCGTTGTTCAGCGCCAGGGAGGTAGCAAGCCCAGCGTGCTCTAGGAACACTGTGTGCTCACCGGCCATCTTTTAAATACACAAAGCCCCAGGATACACCAGCCCTTCTCTGCTGGGTGACTCACTAAGTGACCCAGAGCCTTAGCTCACTGCTAAATTCAGCCCCTCGGCAGCTCAGGAAAGTTCCATCTGAGCTCATACACATGCATGTATCCTGACCCAAAAAACTTTCAGTACAAGACAGAAATCTGCCAAGCAAATCTTCACCTGTTCATTTGGGGTTTCTTGTTTCATTCTTTTCCCTAAAATATGATGGGTGACTCAGTTGTCCCTAGGTTTTCCAAAAATAAATGCCATTTCAAATACAACTCTTGTTACCATTAACAGCACCAGTGGACGGGTGCCTAATCTTGAATTGATACTGCAAAAACTTGAGAATCACTTTTTAAGCGTTTTTTTTTTCTCTTTTAATCCCACAATTGATAGATGCTTGTTGTTGGAAAAATTAAAAAGCTATACATGAGCAAAAAAAAAAAACATATTTACTCAGAGTCCCATTCAGGGTAAGGATTACACTTTGGAACATACCCCTCCTGAGTATTTTTCTGCACATGTGTGTATTAGTGTGTTTGCATGTGAGTTTGGTGTGTAGGTGAAACATGGGATTATAGTGAACATACTGTTTTACTACCTGTACTTACTCCTGAGCAGGACCCTGAAATAAAGTAAATTAATCATGTTTTAAGCCTATTTGACATTAGCAAATTGGTCTACAGAAAAGGTCTATGAAAAGAGTGAGGAAAAGTCAAAGTCAACCCTCAAGATTCATGAAAACACAATTAATTCAAAACCCTGAGGCAAGAATTACAGAATGACCACCAAGTTAGAAAATCTAACGTTATCAGAGGAATTGGTAGAGGAAGGAAAGGAAGGATGGAGAGAGAAAAGAAAAGAACATTTATTATCTTCCTACCATAAGCCATCACATGCATTAGGCATCTCTGCAGCTAAGGGGAGGCTGAGGAAGACAGACAAAACTGAGAAATGTGTGAACTGCAAAGCAGTTGGATGCCACACCCAAACCCTCCCAGGGTTAGCAAAGTGCACAAGTTTTGAATCAAACTGCCAAAGCAGATGATCATTTATTTTAAAATTAGGTATATTCCAGAAAAGTTAGATCTAAAATATTTTTTATAATGCACTAGCACAGTGCTTCTCACCCTGGGTGGGAGGGGGGCTTATCACTCCCCCAGGGGACGTTTGGCAATGTGCGGAGACATCTGTGGTTGTCACGGCTGGGAGGTGCTACCGGCGTCCAGCGTGCGGAGGCCGGGGCAGCTGCTAACGTCCCACAGCACAGAGGACAGCCGAGTTACCTACAGTGCTCAGGCCCAGGCGCCTTGCCCTGGGCTAACTCACGCTACTTAGCAGAATCAAGAGTATAAATCACTTTAGGAAAGATATATATATATATATATATTTTAAGTCTAGAATTAAAGAGCTGAGAGCCATAGCCCTAATGGTCTCCTCATCTGCCCTGGGACTAGCCCATCCGGATCCTCTGGTAGAAAGTAATTGCTCCTCCCAAATTCTGGAGGTAAGGCCAGAGTCTGACTCCTCGGAAGGAGTCAGATAATCAGCGTGGCGTGATGAGGTGCAAGCTGAATGCGTGTGTATAGATAAACGATAATCTCGGGAAAAGTGCCTGGGCAAAATGGCCACAGTAAAAGCATCTGGGTCTGGTGCTCAAGCCGGCCCTGGGCAGAGAGGCTGTTCCCTCCCACGGGGATCTCAGAGATGATGTCGTACGTCTCAACACAGGCGCGTGAAGTCAGATGAGCTCAGATATTAGTGAGCCGATTGCAGGTGGCACGGATGGGGTAGGAAGATTCCACTTCCTTCCAGAAGACGTGCAGACTCTAGGGCCCCAGGAGGGGGCCAGCCTGGGCTCTGAGTGAGACCTCGAGGACGCCACCTCACTAGGCTGCACTGGGGCATCCTCTTTGCCCCTCTGAACTCTCACCCCACCTACAATGTGAGACTCCTGTCTGTGTCCTTAGTGAGTCAAAGAGTGGGACTGTTCGCAACTCCAGTCGACATTCAGATACAAAACCAGGAGCTCAGGCCTTGTTAGGGACTGAATTGTGTCCCCAACCCCCCAAATTTGTACCTTGAAGTTGTAAAGCCCAGTACCTCATAATGTATTTGGAGATAGGGCATTTGAAAGAGGCAATTAAAATAAAATGATGTCACATGGGCAGGCCCGAATCCAACATGACTGGAGTCCTTTGAAGAGAGAGGAAGGGATTAGGACACAGACAGGAGAAGGACAGGTGGAGACAGGAGAAGAAGGCTGCTTGCAAGCCAAGGAGAGAGGCCTCCAGACAGAGCCAGCCCTGCTGACACCTTCGCCTCCAACTTCCAGCCTCGAGCACTGTGAGAAAATAAACGTCCATTGTCTCAGCCCCCTAGTCTGTGGTACTTTGCTGTGGCAGCCCTAGAAGACTAACACGAGCCTTCTCTCAGGGCCAACCACTTCCCCCTAATCCTTCTCTGCCCCCCAGTTCCCAGTGGATGACAAATGCAGAAGATCTATCTTGTTCCAGAGGGTGACAACAACTGAAATCCCCCTTCCTCCCTACCCCATCCTTAACTTGGGATTTGCATACGAAAACAAGATATAAGAGGGGATAACTGTGGAGCAGTTCAGTTTATAGCTCCATGGAGAGAAGATAGCCCCTTCACTTCCCCACCCCACAAACATAGAGCACCCCAACCCAAACAACCAGTGGTATATTCAGTAACACATGAAAAAAATTCTAGATTACCAGGGGATAAAAATTTAGCAAAGTCTTCTCATTCATTGTTAATTATGTACAAACTTGCACAGCCTAGGAGTCTACCTTCAATGTAGAAGCTCTGCCTGAGACTGAGGATAGCAGTGTCCTTCCACAGGGAGACAAATCTCTATCTCTGATCTCAGCTTTCACTATTGTGTTTACTCCATACATTATCAGAGCCAGGTGAGTACCTCCAGTGGGTTTAGAATAATGTCCCATGATAAAATACTTCATGGAGTCTTAAGTCATGGAACAACATTCTGGTGAATCTTTAGAGTGTAAGGATAGGTACTGAAGCACCACCTACTTTTGACAAATTCACTGAACTGGACTTGGTGGCTGAATCTCTCTTTATGGGGTCCATCATGAAGCTATCCACATCCTGTTTCTGGACTATTCTCTTGTCAACTCTTCAGAACTCTTGGTCCCCAAGTGCCTTCATCCATTCAGGCTGCTCTAACAAACTACCACAAGTTGGATGGCTTATAAAGAACAGAAATTTATTTCTCATAGCTCTGGAGGCTGGGAAGTCAAGATAAAGGCACCAGCAGATTTGAGGTCCAGTGAAGGCCTGTTTCTTCATAGACAGACTTTTTCCTGCTGTGTCCTTACACGGTAGAAAGAGAAGGGAGCTCTCTGGGGTCTGTGTGACAATGGGCACTAATCTCATTCATGAGGGCTCTGCTCTCATGACATAACTACCTCCCAAAGACCCACTTCCAAACACCATCACACCGCGGATGAGGATTTAACATATGAATTTGAGGGGGAGACACAAACATTCAGTCTACAACACCAAGGTTCACAAAATGGCTACTTCCACGGCAGCAACACCCTCCGTGAGAGGCACAGCACCTCTCCAAATTAGAACTGCACAACTTAGAAAGGGTGAGCTAAGGAAGCAAGATAGAAACAGGGGATGGACATGGAGCTCTCAGAGGATGCCTCAGGCAACCAGACTCTTCGAAGATCTCCAGTTGACACCTAGTTCCGGGACCAGAATATTCCATCTGCTTTGTTTCACTATATGTTCTCAATTATTTGCTTAAGAAGCAATCTCAAATGCACACTCAACCTTCAAAGGAAGTGTCAATAGTCTGCTAGTTTCCCTTCCACAGGGGACAGAGAATGGCATTGAAACATTCAATCAACTGTGTTTGCCTCTGAGTATAAATATTCATATATATTTTATGAGAAGTGTTAAAATATTAAAAGAAAATGAGTTAGTAATATCACAAGTTGTTAGCTGGATAATGATGAATGTCAATGTTCTTCACCAGGTGCAAGTATAGATGAGGCCACAGTGAGGTATAAGCATAAGAATTCATAGATAATATTTATCCCAGAAAAATCCCACTGAACAAAATGGCAAAGAATTGGTGTAACTTTTCTGATGACTCACTGACTATTCTTTAATAACATGAAGTAAAATTTATCTCAATATTACATTGGCATAAATATTCATTTTATTGGGTCTATCATGCAGTACTGGCCAGTAGCACTTTTATACTGTCATTACTCAGACATTAGCCCGTATTTGAACCACTGCCACTATTTGTTTACAGATGAATTTTGATACAAGGAATAGAATATCAAGACCAAAATTCCACTCAAGCTTGGCATTCAAGCCCTTCAGGCGTGACAATTTCTGACTGAATGCCACCAACATCTCAACTAAGTGCCCCTGGGGGCCGAGACTCAGAGCTGTTGACGCAGCAAGACACGACTCTTTGATAATTTCACTGAGCTCATCTTGATGACTCAATATCAATAGAGTGTGTTTAATTCAAAACAAAAGAAAACACACACACAGACATCAAACTATTCGGAACCTGATATGTCATTACAGACCAGACTTGGAGCATGAGATCTGCTTACTTTTTTTAATAAGAACGCCCACTTCAAAGGCTGCTCCTGCACAAACTCACCCGGTATTGGACAGCTTATCAGAGTCGCTGATAGCACAAGCTTCTCCCTAGAATTACTGGCATTTTCCCCCAACCCTTCAGCAAAGAAAGCTCCTTCGTGGCAGACAGAAATAAGCTGAAATTAGCAAGCTTGTCTTTGGCCTGTTTCCTGGGAAAAACACCCGTACTATTTGTTCAAAGTATATATAAGGAGGGCTCTGAAACATCATCTTCCCTCTCTCTCCCTCACTCTCTGTCTCTCATCTCCCTGCTAATGAAGAAATCTCAAAATGTTTATGAAATCTGAGCTCAGTGCTATCTAGACCTCCCACCCACTCTCAACATCCCTCAACACACACTTTTGCCTTTGGTCAGCTGTCCGATGACATGACAGAAAGCTTAGCAGACATCTGCTCATGGGGTCCAGGGTATGGCATTGCTTTCACCATCAAAGATAAATTGCCAGACAACTGTATTGAAAACCACAGCATACTTCTCAACGCTGATGATACATAGACGAGATGACCAATTTTCTAAATGGGGTCACGAATACTCCTCCCATTTTAGGAGCCGTTTTCTCCCAGCAAGAAAAGATTTAAAGCAATAACAAGGACCACTGTGTCAACTTCAAATCCAAAAGCGTCTAAGCCTCCTTTTTTTACTACATGTGGGTGCTAAAAATGACATATTATGTGAGGATCGTTCTGGAATTCAGAACTTACAAAAACAGAAAAAAAAAGTATAAGGAGTGAATGTCTTGCTTTGCCAATACAACTCCTATAAACAGTATGGGAAGCATATTTTTCAAATTCAGACTCACTTGGATTTCTAAAGAAGCGGCCCTGAACTGGTGACAACTTCGGTTAGCTTGTATAAAGGGTATAAATAAAAGAATATCACATAATGTTTATCTGAGGAGTAAATAAGATAAAATATACAATCTAACACATAGTTAGCACAGAAAGCCTATATCCCTGCCCTTCCTTTTGAAGTTACCATTAAGCTGATTCTAATTAGCATCAAACGTTTGAATATAGCAGTTAGATCTTCTTCTAGGTGTTTGAAGAAGACAATCAGAATATGGCATTTACGGCGTAGCTAAAAAGTTTGAACACACAGAGAGCAGAAAAGTAGATAACAGAGATGGGGAAGAGTGAGCTGGGGAGAAAGAAGATGAAGAGAGGTAGGTTAAAGGGCACAAACACAGTCAAATAGAAGGAATAAATTCAGTATTTGATAGCAGAGTAGGATGAATGTACTTAACAAAAATGTATTGTACTACAGTGCCAGACACCCTGCATACCTTGATGTGATCACTATGCATTATATACCTGTAACAAAATTTCTCATGTACCCCATACATTTGCACAAATAAAATTAATATGTAAATAAATAAAAATTCATTTTAAATCAATAAGGATTTTTAAGACAGATATTATATAAAACAGGTATCAGAATTTTTCACAGTATGCTAATCAGTTCTTGAAGATGACGTGACATAATAATAGAGTAAGAAGTCAGACAGAAACAGAAAAGGAACAGAGAAGAAAAACTGGGTAATGCACTACCAGCCAGTATCTGTGTGGGTGGTTCTGCAGAGACCCAGAGGGCCTGGGCCTCCGCAGCCTGGGCTCTGCCCTCCTGTGGTCTGTGACAGTGAGAAAGTCACCAACATGGCCAGGTATCAACATCCTCCTTGGTAAAATGAAGAAAACCAACTCAACCATCAAAATCCTTCCATTTCTAACCTGTCTGTGAAATTTTCACAGAAAATATATTGGGAAAACACCAGAGTGGCAAATTGGAATGGATCTCAAAGAAACAGAAATTCATACAAACTGGCTGTGAGGCTAGACTACCTTCATTAGGATTAGCAAGAAGAGCCCAGACTGTGAGCTCAGCCTTCCGTACCAGAAGGTTCAGTCAAGAGACTGCACAGCAAAGCACATGAAGAAATAATTCCTTTAAAAAGATAAAGACAAAGGAAACATATAACTTCTAAGTATATGAATAATTACCTAATCCCAGGAACCAAAAATGTTACAGTTTCTCTCCCAGTAAATTGGCAACTATGCAAAGATTCATCTTCATATCATGTTCATGGGAATGTAAATTGATAAATTTGGGAGATAATGATTTGACAATTCATAACAAAAACTTTAAATACTGTATATCCAATGATCCAGTAATGTCATCTCTATATATTTATTCCAAGGAACTCATTCTGAATGTTTAGCTATACATAGTATTCCTATGTTATTTCTGATATTAAGTAATTATTTTTAAAACCTTAAATATCTAACAATAAATATTTAGATATTTATCTAGTAGATATTTTGATGTTGTTTATCTAATAAATTATAGCAGTTTTTACTGTGAAATAGCATGTAATTGTTTAAAAATGGCCTCATAGAAATATATTAAATGATGTATAAAGATGTTCACAACACATTGTTAAATGAAAAAATGTTACAAAACATTGCAATCTCATATTTCTAAGGAAGAATGTATATTTTTACATATGTGTATCTGCATTTATTTTTTTTTTTTTCATTTACGGATTCTCAGCAGAATGTATCTGCATTTAGAACATAGGTATGTGTATACTTACATTTTTCTATGTGTGTATGTGTACCTAGACAAAATGTATTAGGTTGAGCCTATAAAATCTCTAATTCATAACTCAAAAACAGTAAAATGCCAATAATTTCATATGGTCCAACCTAATAAGTAAATACATATACATTGAAATAAGACTTGAAAAAAATTGACAAAAATGATGACTATGGCCATATCCTTAGTGATTATGGATACTTTTAATTTTCAAACTTTTTACAATTTAGATGTATTTCTTTTAGTATAAGAAAAAAGTTGAAGTGAGGTCCAATATTTAATTTACACACGAAGAAGCCTAAAATATGTAATTTCTTATATATGAGAAATATATGTATACACACACATAGACTATATATGACAAAACTTATATATACAGATAAAACTATCCAAATGTCTAATGTTGTTTAATGTAATCCATTCCAAAGACTTAAGTACTTATATTATAAGGAAATAATCACTCATCAGGATAAAAATGCTTGGTCTTTCAGAATAGCCTTCCCTCCTTCCTTCCTTCCCAAGACATTCTCGGAGGAATGAATGGTAAGAAGGAGAGTTTAATATCTCATGGTGGTGAGAAAACCTGGGCTCTTGGGCACGATTTCCTCTACCTCTTCTGCTCTCCAGGGCTCTGTCTCTTGTCCCCTGGATGTCTGCTGGCCTTCAAGGCTGAAATCTGAAGATGGTGTAACCGGTAATCTGATCTCTTCTGGTTTGGTCAGGATTATCACTTCCTGCTGACTCAGCCTCATGTTAGCTCCTGCAGACTGCAGACACCTGAGTACCTACCATCCCTTCCTTAGCCTCTGGCCCAGCAGCCCACCCAGGCTCCGCTGTGCGGTCACCTTGTGCCTACCCTGTGCGTGCTGCAGATCCTTCCCTTCTCAATTCTGCATTGGTACCTTCCCTTCTCAATTCTGCATTGGTACCCTATAAAGAATGAGGGAACCCTTGGAAGCTGAGCCTCAAGTCCACACTTCCACCTGACCAAACTCTCTACCCCAGCTCTTGTTGAGACTGAAGTCCAGACTGCCCCTTGACATAATTCACTTAGAGCACACACCTCCAGAGGGCAAGTAGAGAGGCACCTGACTCTCTGCATCCTCTCCTTTCTGCCAGCCCTCAGCCAGGCTTTTCCTTTGCTTCCAACTCTGCCCTATCCTCCTTCTCCTCCCTTCTCTAGCCAGGTGTGCAGCAGCTCTTCTCAGCATTACAAAAACACACTCTGAACAGAGCTCTTGAAGCTCAGTTATTAATTTGATACAGGGATAGAGGAATCCTTTCTCAAGACAATAGCTTACATCATTCTTATTTTTGAATCACAGAATATTAATATTGAATAATACCTTGGTCTTCTCTTTGGAATTTCTCTTATAAAAATTATACCCAGATAACTGCCAAGGGTATAAGAAACTAAGGTTTTTGACTCAAAAAAGTAAAAAAAAAAAAAATTAAAACCTTATCTCTGTTATAAAGTTATTTAAGAAAAAGAGGTACACAATTAGTTTAGGTATAACAAAAACAGGGAGATGCCAGGAGAGGGAGAAGGCTATGAACTGAGACTCGCAGGATGCGGGAAACTAATGAAAAGAATTCAGAGAAACCAGTGCAAACTATCAAGAAAATTCAAGAGGTAAAACATAAAAGTCTTGTGTATTTTTATAAGTAATACTTGACATTTCTCAAAGTACTCAAATTGCTTCAGAGAGAGGCCATTGTGCACACAAGCTTTCTGTCATGGGAATGGAACTTATGGAAGACAAAGATCAATGATCAAGATACCAGCAGGCACACTAGCTCATGCCCATCATCCTACCATTTGGGGAGGTTGAGGCAGGAGGATCACTTGAACCCGATGTTTGAGGCTGCAGTGAGCTGTGACCACACCACTAATGCTTGGCTGGTAGAATGGAGCAGTTTGTGTCCCTGTATGAGTGTCATCTTGCGTACATTACGAGCCACCTCTCCCCCTCACTGCCCAGGTGAGGAAGTTCTGGAGGCTGCCCTCAAATCTGGCACATAAATGATGATGCGATCAAAATATTAAAATGAGTAAAGTTTATAATTCTAATTACCACAGATTCTGTTTTAGAGATAATAACTATGTGCATTTTAAAATAGTCATATGGCCAATGTGAATATAAACTGAATGTAATCTCACACTCAGCCAGAACAGTGTTATAGTAGTTCACTATTTCATGAATGTGGTGTGTTTCCATTATTGTTTGCTCTGTCCAGTGTGTTTTTTGAAAGGTGTGTAAAGTATTATGTGAAAGTCTGAGTTAGTAAAGAGAAAATTTAACACTAGAAGTTTCTAGGAGCAGAAAGGCAGAAGAATCACTGACAGAGGGAATAATTTTGCAAAAATCCCTGTCAGAGGCTAGAAAAGGCAAGTAGGAGCCTGCCAGAGCAGGAGTATGATTTCATTTTGAAGCAGTGACAACCTCGCGTTCATCGATCTTTCTAATGACATAATCGTGTATCTCAGCTCATCACTGAAACTGTCCAATAGGAGCTCAAATATTTGCTGCTGATGAACTGGTGGATTCGTCTGCCTGCCAATCACTTTGCCTGTGGATTGGTTTTGACTAGAACCAGATGAAAAACTCAATCGCAGGGCACATTCGGGTTCAAAAAGAAAATCTGAGTGGTGGTACTGAAATTGGAGAGTTCAGATTTTGTAGCTGTGTGCATGTTGAAAAAAAACGCGACATGTAAATCTTTCAATCTTCTTTTCACATCCAAAGTTCCATGTGTTTCCTCAAAGTCATTCCAGTTTAATGCAAAGAGACATTCTCAGAGAGATTAGAGGGGGAAAAAAAAAAGGAGAAGCAAGATATCTTCCCCACTAAGTCAGGGAAAAACCTTTCAGACAGGTCCAGAGCAGAAATGCTGTTGATAAGAAATGGAGAACAAAAGTCTCAGGCTTTGAGAACACCAAGGATCCCAAGAGAGGCGCATGGTGCTAGTGCTTAGAGTCAGTTCCGCCCACGCTGCCTGGGGGCAGACATAAGCGTGACTTCTGTATCTGGGGGCAAGTTACTGACTTGCCTCTGTTCCTCTACCGCTGTGCTGTGCTGATACTGGATCGCTTGGATGTACGGGAAAGGCATGTAGAAGTGAGCCTTGGAGCCAGTCAGCTGTCTGCGTGTCATCCACAAGCAGTATCACACGTCACCACTGTTTTGCTGATGTTGTTGCCATTGATCCTTGCCTGAAGGCAACGTGTTCATGTCGTCCCCACTAGCCTCCTTTCAATAAGTATCAATTTCTGAGCCTTTATTTTATCCCAGGTAACCATTTCTTTTAGACTGAATATGAATGAGGAACCAAATCCCCGTATATGGTTGGTTAGAAGAAAGAAACCAACATTTTCTTTTTTGCATAATGTTTTCTAAACTCCAAGCCTCATCCTGCCCAGGGCAAACCACCAGGATGGTGAAATCCTCCCAAACAAGGGCAGGAAGCGAGACGAATGAACCTACCCTTGGCTTCCTTCTTGGTTTGCAAATTCCAGCTCTGACCAAAAGTCCAAAGGAATCTTGTCATGAAAGGTGGACACAAACCATGCTACATTTGTCCCATTAGCAAAAGCTTTGTAATCAAAAAAAAAAAAATACAGTCACTTTACAATCTATCAAGTTCATACAATCCCGGGCTGATTTCTGGAAATAAATTTTGTC